CCATGGAGACACCGGAAACTTGCTCTGACCTAGTAGTTCGCCGCGCCGCTGCAGCGGCGGACTTTGGTTCCGCCGGCGTTGCGGCCCGGAAGTGCGGCCTTGAAAGTGGTGAGCTGGAGGCGGCCACCGCCCGGCCTGGTGCCTGAGGAGGAGCCGGAGGTGGGGTCAGGCGGGCATCCCCCTGCCGCAGGGCCGGCGGGGAGGCCGGGGCGTGCCCGGGGAGGGGCGCCCGCGCTAGGCTTGGAGCGCGCGCCGCAGACGTGAGGGGGCGCTGCAGGACGGGGGCACTTCGCGGGCAAGAGCGCGGAGGCGGGAAACCTAGTCGGCTAGGGCTGGGGCGGGCGCAGCTGGGGCAGATCAGAGAAGGGGCTGCTGGACTCAGGGTGAGGCGCGGGCAATGGCGCAGAGAACGGGAGAGGGTGCTCGGAGCAAAGTGCATGGCGTGGGCAAAAGCGTGGTGGCGAGGACGCCTGGGTGCAGCGTCTCAAGGTGGGCCTTTGTTCCGAGGCGCCCAGAGGCTCTGCTGCACCTGCACTATAGTTGGAGCCTGCTGGGGAGCACGGCGGGGGTGGATCGGAAGAGGAAGGGTTCAGTCCCTACGGATTGAGGCGCAGGTTTCTGCCCCCGTTGCCCGGGCACGGATTTGAAATCCTTTAGGTGCTGGGTGAAAAAAGACGGTGAAGGGTGCTTGTGGCAGAGGTAACGGTACGTGCGGAGTTGGCCCGTTTGAGGAATTGCCTGGAGAGCTCTGAGCGAAGGAGGGTCCCGAACTGTTAGGTCTGAACAGGCTCCCTCTGGCTGTCGCGTTGGGAATAGACCGGGAGGTGGGGGGACGCGAGGAGGTTACTGGGGCAGTGGAGGTGTGCAGAGTGGTCTGAGGAGTCAGATATGGATCGTGAATGGCCCCAGCAAAGGAAAGGCTGTTTGGGCTTAAGGCGCCCGAGGGGGTGAGTCTGAGACCGAAGTAGACCCCGAGGAGTTAAGAGAGGCCTCACCTGAGCCAGGCTGGTGCAGAGTGGGTGGGTCTCAGGGTGTGTCTTTTGTCCTGACTGATGCTTCTCCCCTAGACTGGAGGTGTGTGTGGCCTGGGTGTGGGGCGAGCCAGGTATCTAAGATAGAGGGGAAACTGAGGCCAAGCAAGCATGTTGCCTGTTTGTTGGTGAAGTAGCTGAGCTTCTCAGATTCCCATTGTTCCCAGGGGGGTGGTACCCCTTTCCCTTTCCAGTGCCTGAGGCTGGGCAGTGCTGGGATTTCGAGGCCACAGTTTAACAAGAAGTGTCCATATTGCTCAGCCATGCTGATCTTGAGGCCTCTGCCGCTCCACCTGCACCCAACCAATCACACACCCCTGCACAGTCCACAAGCCCCCTCTCTGTGCCTCACCCACACCCTGCGCCCCACAGGCCCAATCAAGATTCCAGGAAGCATGAGGCTGCAGGAGGCGTCTCCCGCTAGCTGTGCTGGAGCGGGCCAGAGACCATGTATTTTCCTCCCGCAGAGCACCTGCTAGGCTAATGCCCAATCTAGTCTCAACTCTGTGTGACTATGCACACCCCGAATCGCTTAGCCCCGGAGGCAGTTCAGGCCAGCCACACCCCTGCGAAGACTTCCATATACACTAGTTAAAGTAGCCAGGTTCTGAGGCAGCAGACCTCGGCCTGCACAGGGCCTTGGATGTTCCAAGGTTGGGGGCTGTATCAAGGGAGATCAAAAAGAAGCCACTCATGGTGGGAGTCGCAGCCAGCAGGGTGGGGAGTGGGTGAGACGTGGAAGCCTGTTCTAGATAGGGGTCCCCGCCCTCTCCTCCACAGGGTGTCCTGTCAGAGGAGGATGTGGGGAAGGCTATGGATACCAGAGTTCCGGGAAGGGTGGGTGGGGCAAAATAGGGGAAGCGAGCCCTGGAGTTCCCCACGCTGGCAGTAAGCAAGACCAGAGGGCAGCAAACCTTTGGTATCCCCAGCCCTCTCACAGCGGTGTGCTGGGGGCTTCAGAGGTAGAGGGGGCTGCAGAAGTCCTGGGGCGGGGGCAGGGAGTCCTGCTGTGTTGGGAACCAGGACTTCGAGGGGCCAGGGGCATTGGAGAAGGTTGGGGTTCCTGAAGCCTGGGGGTGTGGTTCACCCTTGGGCCCTGTCCCGCTGAAGGGATGGGAACGCTGGGGCAGAGGGGGGTCCCTGGCTGACTTCCTCTTGCCCACACCCGCTGGTCCGGTGCAGATGGCGGCAGCGGAGGCGGTGCACCACATTCACCTGCAGAACTTCTCCCGATCCCTGCTTGAGACCCTCAACGGGCAGCGGCTGGGTGGGCACTTCTGTGACGTGACTGTGCGCATCCGCGAGGCTTCACTGCGTGCACACCGCTGCGTGTTGGCCGCCGGCTCGCCCTTCTTCCAAGACAAATTGCTGCTCGGCCACTCTGAGATCCGCGTGCCGCCTGTGGTGCCCGCGCAGACGGTGCGCCAGCTCGTCGAGTTCCTCTACAGCGGCTCGCTCGTGGTGGCGCAGGGTGAAGCGCTGCAGGTGCTCACAGCCGCGTCGGTGCTGCGCATCCAGACGGTCATAGACGAATGCACGCAAATCATAGCCCGCGCCCGCGCCCCTGCCCCGGGCCCCCCCGCGCCCGCGCCCCTGCCCACGCCCGTGCCCCCGCCGCTCGCGCCCGCGCAGCTGCGCCACCGCCTGCGCCACTTGCTGGCCGCGCGCCCCCCGGGCCACCCCGGTGCCGCGCACACACGCAAGCAGCGCCAGCCCGCGCGCCTGCAGCTGCCCGCGCCCCCCGCGCCTGCCAAGGCGGAGGGATCGGATGCCGACCCTGCCCTGACCGCTGCGCCAGACGACGGCGCGGACGACGACGACGACGAGACCGATGAGGAGACCGACGGCGAGGATGGCGAAGGCGGCGGCCCGGGTGAGGGCCAGGCGCCCCCTTCTTTCCCCGACTGCGCCGCCGGCTTCCTACCCGCGGCCGCGGACGGCGCGCGCGAGGAGCCGCCTGCGCCCGCCGGCCTCTCCGATTACGGCGGCGCCGGGCGGGACTTCCTCCGGGGGACTTCGGCTGCCGAGGACGTGTTCCCCGACAGCTACGTCTCCGCTTGGCAAGACGGAGATCAAACCGCCCCTGAAGGCTGTCCCGCCGAGACCCCTGCCCCGCCCGACTGTGTCCTATCCGGACCCCGCCCACCTGGCGTAAAGACCCCCGGGCCGCCCGTCGCGCTTTTCCCCTTTCATCTGGGCGCTCCCGGGCCGCCAGCGCAACCCCCTCCCGCGCCCTCGGGGCCGGCCCCTGCGCCCCCACCCGCCTTCTACCCAGCGCTCCAGCCGGACGCAGCTCCCAGCGCGCCTCTAGGGGAGGCCCCGGCCCCACCGGCCGCTCCCAGCGCAGCCCCGTCGACCACCCCTGCGCGCGCCCCGGGTGCCGAGCCGCCCGCCTATGAGTGCAGTCACTGCCACAAGACGTTCAGCTCCCGGAAGAACTACACCAAGCACATGTTCATCCACTCGGGTGAGCCGGGCTGGGTCTCTGAGCCTCTTGATCGTTGGAGATAGGCTTTTTGTTAATACTTGATGACCCTAGGGGTCAAACACAGCCTGTCTCCCCCTGTCTGATTCAGGGGGAGGGGGGCAGCCTACTCTGTCACCCCTGGAACATGATAGCAGCCAGAAGGGAGGGGGTAGGTATGCCGGGGTCTTTCCCAGTGTAAGGGTGCTGGGCCTTGCTAGACTGTCCCCAGAATGGTGGCCAGCGACCAGACAGTCCAGAACGCTCTGTGAGCGTGGCAGGGATGGGGGAGGGGTAGCCCGCGGCCCTGTGCCAGGCACGGTGCGGTTTGGGGGCGGGAAGGTCCCTGGAGGTGGGGGTAGACCTGAGTGGTCAGCCTCGGTGGGCAACGATGTCCCAGACCTGCGGGGGTCCCCGCTGGGAGGCTACCTGTTGGAGTTGTGGGTCACAGACAGGCAGTGACATCCCGGTATGACCCTAAGGGTCGGGGAGAGGGGCGTCGCTGCCGGGCGGGGGGATTCCGGATGGATGGCTGGTCCGGTTGGGGAGGGGAGTCCCTGCCGGCAAAGGCGCCCCGGGGCCCTTCCCCACCTGACCTGAGTTTGCTGCCCGCCCTGTCGCCCGCAGGGGAGAAGCCCCACCAGTGCGCCGTGTGCTGGCGATCCTTCTCGCTGCGCGACTACCTGCTCAAGCACATGGTCACGCACACGGGCGTGCGCGCCTTCCAGTGCGCCGTCTGCGCCAAGCGCTTCACGCAGAAGAGCTCGCTCAACGTGCACATGCGCACCCACCGGCCGGAGCGCGCGCCGTGCCCCGCCTGCGGCAAGGTCTTCTCGCACCGCGCGCTGCTGGAGCGCCACCTGGCCGCGCACCCTGCGCCCTGATCCGGGCATGGGGCCTGGCCACGCCCACCGAGGGATCGGTCAAGCCCCACCCGCTGTCACGCCTGCCGCGGCCACTTGACCACGTTCCCGCCACCAGCCCACGCTTTCTCCTGAGATCAGGCCCTTCTCCTGCTTCCACCCTTCTCTCCAGCCCAGCCCGCCTTATTCCTCTCCTCCTACGTACTCGGCCCTCCGGGTGGGGGCTGGCTGGGGATGGTCAGGGACCCGACCACCTCTGAGAACTGGATCATCTCCAACCTGAACTAGGGCTCAACCATGGTGCAGGGCCTAGGATTCATGGCTCCGACTCTGGTTCACGCCCCTCCCCTCCCATGAGTGGGGTGGGGTCTGCTCCCCTGCCCCTGTGTCAAGCCGGGAAATGTCCCCAGCTCCCCGACCCGAGCTAATCCTCCCTCATCTGGCGCCTGGGGCGTCTCAGGTGGGCCCATCATGGACTGAGGCCTGGTCTTGGGACCCCTGCTCTGTAATAAAGGACTGTGGGCCGTGGGGCCGAAAGCTGGAAGCATGTGCTCCCGGACCCGTGTGTTCCTCTTCCTCACAGACCGACTGTGGGTGTTGGGCCTCAGTGCCCCTGTCCCTGGCAGCATCCCTGCTGCTCCCTGGGCTCCTTTGGGCTGCGAGCGGATGATCCACTTTGCCATCTCGTGTCTCTGTTCTCTGGGTGGGAGTGGGGTGCACGTATGACTGGCGCTTGACTCTCCCAGAGCCCTCGGTCCTGTGGGGAGGGGTACAGGCGGGTCTCGGAGAGGGAGGCCACGTGTGGGAAATTCGCAGCCACAATCCCAGCTGCTGCCGCCCAAGATAAAGATTTCGAGGCCCCTCCCCCCATATCTTCCAGACAGAATCTCTAGCCTTCAGACTTCTCCTCTGGTTGAGCACCGCGCTTTTGGGGGTCCAGGGGGTCTTTGGGGCCAGGCTGCCACTAGGGGGTCCGAGCCCCAGGATAGCTGTCCTGGCCGGCAAGGCCGGAAGTGCCAGGCAGGGCTGGGGTGGGGGCAGGGCAGAAAGCGGCAGCCGGGACCCTTGGGCTGCCCACTGGGCTGCGGAAGATGGCCAACCAGTGTCAGTTCGAGGCTACTGTCCGCGTGCCCCATCGCACTGTCGGCACGTGGCCTGGGCACCCCGGTCCAAAGTATCTGGAGCCGGTGAGGGGGGTGTGGCCTGTAGGGCGCTCCAGTAGCCCAGCTTGCTGTGATCCTAGGCCAATGGCAACGTTTCTCTGCGCTACCCCCTGTGACTGCCTCCCAGAGGAGGGGGGCTAAGGCTTTCCTGGTCCAACCGTGCATAGACTGCCAGACCCACATTCCAGGCAGAGTTCAGCCTCCTGAACCCTGAGCATGGTCCCCACTGATGACAAGGGTAAGGCAGAGAGTCAGAGTGGACCACATGGGTTGGGGGTCAGAGCTGGGTTTGAATTCGGGCACTGCAGGTGTTCAAGGGCTTACTGAGCACCTGCTGTGTACCTGGCAGGAGGCTGGGGGCTCATTCCAGCCAGGCCCCATCTCCTGGAAGATTCAGATTAAGTAGTTGCCACAGGAGAACTTCCTGGTGAGGTTTGCAGATGGGAAGGCAGTGCTTACAACCAGAGCTGCCCTGCTATCCTGCTGAATTTGCATTTGGCATGGCTGGAAGTTCAGTTTCCTGAGAGAGGGATTTCTGCCTATTTCCCAAGTGCCTGGGGCACAGCGTGGGGGACAGAGGCAGAGGGGCTGGAGCCACGCGGAAGACCAGGCAGAGTGAAACAAACAGTTGGGGTTAAGAAGGGCTGGAGGCAGAGTCCTGGAACCACCGCCATGGCCAGCAGCCTCTGGGTCACCGCCAGGGGGTGGGGCTGACGGGTTATCAGCCCGGGCAAGAGGTGGGCATTCCTGGACGTGTCCCTGAGGCAGGAGCAGGTACGATGGGCATCTGGGGACGACTGGCCTTCTTGCTGTTGCTGCTGTTGCTGCTGCGAGGCCTGGGGCAGTCCTCGTGGCCTGCAGCAGTGGCCCTGGCTCTGCGCTGGCTCCTGGGAGACTCTGCCTGCTGTGGGCTGCTGGTCCTGGCTGTGCTGGCGTGGCCCTGGCTCGGGCCCTGGATGCCCCACTGGCTGAGCCTGGCGGCCGCGGCCCTCACACTGGCTCTGCTGCCCACGCAGCCGCCCCCAGGGCTGCGCTGGCTGCCTGCAGACCTGGCCTACATCTTCAAGGTTCTCCGCCTGGGCCTGAACATCCAGGTGCGCTTGAGCCGGCAGCCACCTGACACCTTCGTAGATTCCTTCGAGCGGCGGGTGCGAGCGCAGCCAGGGAGAGCGATCTTGGTGTGGACGGGGCCGGGGAGCCGCTCGGTCACCTTCGGGGAGCTGGACGCCAGGGCCTGCCGGGCGGCGTGGGTCATGAAGGCCGAGCTGGGCGACGCCACGGGACCCCGCGCTCAGGAGCCCACTGCCCTCCTCGTGCTGCCCTCGCAGACCATTCCTGCCCTGGGCCTGTGGCTCGGGCTGGCCAAGCTGGGCTGTCCGGTGGCCTGGATTAATCCACACGGCCGGGGGGCGCCCCTGGTGCACTCGGTGCTGAGCTCTGGGGCTCGGGTGCTGGTGGTGGACCCAGGTGAGGACCTCAGAGACCAGCGGAGGTCGGATGTGGTGGGGACAGGGGCAGGAGACAGACGTGGAGGATTGCTGTTCAGAGGGTCCTGGTGGGGGCTGGGCAAGAGCTCCGCGCCCCTCACCCACCCCCAGGCAATTAGGGCCAAAACTTAGTTGCTGGGAAGTAATTCTGAGGGCACCAGGGCTTTGCTTTGTGTTTTCTTCAACATGGCTATTTCAACTTTTTTTGCCCCCCAATACAATTACGGGGTTCTTTACAGATAAGGCAGATGCTCTTCTCTGCTGGCTGCTTCCTCCATGGCTGGCAGTGGGCTCCTCTCCCACATCTCGGGTCCCCCCCCACCTCAAAGGTGGGCCTCCTCTGAATTCCTCCTCTGACCCATTCCCACAGGCCTCCGCGAGAACCTGGAGGAGGTCCTTCCCAAGCTGCAGGCAGAGAACATCCGCTGCTTCTACCTCAGCCACTCCTCCCCCACGCCGGGGGTGAGGGCTCTGGGGGCTGCCCTTGATGCGGCACCCTCAGACCCCGTGCCCGCTGACCTTCGAGCTGAGATCAAGCTGAGAAGCCCAGCCCTGTTCATCTACACCTCGGGGACCACCGGTGAGGGCGCCCAGCAGTCCTAGCCCAACCTCTGAACCCTTCTGCTGACATGACTCCAAGCCTGACCTGTGCCTCAAACTTGACCTCTGAAACCCACCCTGCCCTTTGATTTTGACACCTGGCCGAACTCTGACCCCCAGTGTTATTTGAATGGTCAGTGCCAGAATCCTGCCTCTGCCCAGTAAAGAGCCACTGAAACCCTGAACTTTGGAATTCAGCCTCTGAACTCCAGTCCAACGTGTCCTCCCTAAACGCGCCCACAGGTCCCATACTTGACCACCTTTCGAGAGCCTCAGACCCCTGACTGTGCAGACCTGATCCTGGAGACCCACTCCTGCGTGCGGGTCCCTCTAGTGCTGTCTGTGCACCACCCCACTCTTCCCATTGCTTCTTCCCCCAGGGCTCCCGAAGCCAGCCATCCTCACGTACGAGCGGGCGCTGCAGATAAGCGGGATGCTGACCCTGTGTGGGGTCACAGCTGATGACGTGGTCTACACGGTCTTGCCTCTGTACCACACGATGGGGCTGGTCCTTGGGGTCCTTAGCTGCCTGGAGCTTGGTAAGCCCTTCGCTGAGGACCACCCCCCAATCCACAGGACTGCCAGACTTGATGTCAAAGCCCCATAGGTTACCCAGCACCCCAGGTTCTTACCTTCGACAAGGGACAGTGAGCCCCAGGGCTACCTGGACAGAGGGCTGGACACCCAGACAGTCCTTAATGGCTGTGCTGTAGTTGGGAGGTGAAAGAGCTGATGTGAGTGTTGGTCACTCGTATCTATCATCGTCACAGGCGGAGCCAGTGAGGGAACACTCACCAAACGTTCCATCCGGTTGTCGTCTCCCTAGACACCTGACCATGAATTCTGTCAACAGACTGCGCTGGTCTGTTTTTTGTTGTTGTTGTTGTTGTTTTTTCCCTGAAATTTTAACATGGAAAATTTTGAAATATAAAAATTTCTAAAATTCTCTACATGTATCGTCAAGTACTCACCACCCAGCTTCAGCCACCATCAGCATTCTGCTCTTCTGTGTTTCGTTTATCGCCTCCCCCTTATTCCCACTTGTCTTTTTACTCATATTTTATTTAAAAAAATTTAAAATCATGGACAATTTCAAACATACACTAAAGCAGAGCAGTCAGTTTGATGATGCTTCCCATATCCTCACCCAGCCTCAACAATTGTTAACATGTTGCCAATTTTATTTCATATGTACTCCCTTCCTTCTTTCTGGATTATTTTGGAGCAAATCCTAGACACTATCTTTTTGTTGGTAAATATTGCAGTATGTATCTCTAACGGGTAAGGCCTTAAAAAACTGTAACCAGAGTGATCATCACTCCTGAAAAAATTAACAGTAACTCTTTGATATTATCTGATGTGCACTTCATGTTAAAAATTTCCCCAATTGTCTTACTGCCTTTTTGCAGATAAACTGTTCTCATTGTACTTGCTTGCTTGGTCTCTGCTCCTCTCCCTCCCACACTTCCTGGTAGACTAGATGTTCCCTCTAGAGATGTTTTCAGATTCAGTCCAATTATTCTTGTCAAGAACCTTGGTGGGGTGCAAAGTGCCTCCTAATTTGTCACGTTGGAGGCTGCTCAAAACTGGGATCCTACCTTAGGCTAAGAAGAATTGGGAAGCTTTCACTGGAAAAATCCTTATCAACCTCCCCCCTGGCTTTAGCAGCTCTTGAAAACCTTTCCAGAATCCAGGCATTTCACTAGGAGTTGCTAACAAAGCTATCGGTTTCAAGGACCCAGCATCCATTTTCACAGAGAGGGCATTCTATTTCACCTCTGTCAAGATACAGCCTCGAAGAAGACACATGCTTGCTACCTCACCAAGCACACGAGCCATCGTCCCTTTGGGTGCAGGGATGATATTTAGCTTTCGGGGTTTTGTTGAGGATTAGGGTTGAGGTAAGGAGAGTGCCATCCACAGAGCCAGCTGCAGAGGAGGGGATCAGAAAAGGAGGGAGCAATTTCCTGGAGTGCATGTAGTGGCCCCTAAGATGTATTAATCCATGTGTCCATCCTTCAGAACATCCATATATCCATCCACCAACCCACCCACCCATCACCCATCCACCCTTCCACCCACCTTTCCATCCACCTACCCATTCATCCATCTATCCATTTGCCGAGCTAGACATTCCTAAGACAGTTATCACAATCAAGAGTGATTCCTACTCACAGCCCTTATTCGGCAGTGCTCACTTTGTACCAGGCACCGAGCTTTCCACACATACTGGAGACGGGATTCAAACTCAGGCTAGGCTGTGCTCTTCTCATGGGAATAGTTTTGGCTGGGCCAGCAACACAGAGATGAGCCTGATGTCATCTTGGGTTTCAGGGGCCACAGCCAGGTGATCAAAGCAGCTTCTCACAGTGGTTTGGAAGCATGACCTGAAACCCTTTCCTCTCCTCCCTCCAAGGAGTGACCTGTGTCCTGGCTCCCAAGTTCTCTGCCTCCTGCTTCTGGGACGACTGTCGGCAGCACGGCGTGACTGTGATCCAGTATGTGGGCGAGGTCCTGCGGTACCTGTGCAACACTCCCCAGGTGAGGTGCTAAGATTAGGGCTCCAAGGTGAACACCCCAGGAATCACCCCAGGTAAAGATCTCAGGTAGATTCAGTCCAGGACTCAAGCAAGGTCCCTCAGGTATCAATAGAACACCCCAGACAAGAGGCACGGACAGCGAGTCCCACACAAGGTTTCCAATCATGGCTGCTCTGATGAACAGCGGTGCTATCTCGGGCAGGTGACTTCACGTCTCTCAGCCTCAGTGTCCTCTTTGGGAAATCAGGAATAATACCTCAAGGGGGTATTGTGAGAATTAAACACGTAAAGTGCCTAGAACAGGGCGTGGCTCAGGATAAACTCACTAGATGCGAGCTGGCCTCATGCTGTGTATCAATGATGTATGGACCCTGGGTAACTGTCTCTAAGCAAGATCTCCAGGTATCCTTCCAAATATAGTCTCTAGGTCACCCCTCAGGGGAAGGTTCCTGGTAACTACCCCCAAGTAAGGCTCCCAGATAACTCCCCAAGATAAAGCTTCAAGTCACTCCCCAGGTTACCTTCAGGTAAAGGCCCCCAAGTAACCCCTCCTGGTAAGGCCTCCAGTTAACCCCGCCCCCCCAGGTAAAATCTTCAGGTAACTACCCCTATATAAGACCCCAGATGCTTCCCCTAGGTAAGACCCTAGATGAGGCCTCCCATCGCCCCTAGATATCTCTCCAGGTAAGGTTCCCAGGTAACCCCTGCAAGTAACTCTCCAGGTACAGACTCCAGGTAACTGCTCAAGTAAGAACTCAGGTAGATCACCTAGGTAAAGACCCCCCATCACCTCCCAGGTAGCTGCTCAGGTCAGGACCCAAGATAGCCCTCCCGGGTAAGGGTTCCTGGGCACACCCGAGGGCACCTCCTCACCCTTCTTGGGATGTCCCTGCAGCGGCCAGAGGACCGAACACATAAAGTCCGCCTGGCGATTGGCAGTGGACTCCGGGCAGAAGTGTGGGAGACCTTCCAGCAGCGCTTTGGCCCCATTCGGATCTGGGAAGTCTACGGCTCCACGGAAGGCAACGGTGGCTTTGTCAACTATCCAGGGCGCTGTGGGGCCCAGGGCAAGACAAGCTGCTTCCTTCGAGTGAGTGTGTTGGGCGTGACAGTGGCCCTGATTGAGGCTGAGCCCACAGGACCTCTGCTGACACCTCCCCACCCTCCACTCAGATGCTGTCCCCCTTCGAGCTTGTACAGTACAACATGGAGACAGAGGAGCCTGTGAGGGACAACTGGGGCCTCTGCATCCCTGCGAGGCCAGGTATGGGGGCTGGGGGACCTTCCCTGGGTGTGGGGAGGGCGGAGACCCTAGGTCTCCTCCGTGGCTGGAACAAGCCACCCAAAGCCTTGAGGTTGATGTCCAGTGGTGGTGTCTGCAGTCCTCACCTGGACCCTGAGTCCCAGGCCTGTCTGACAGCGGTCCGGGGCCCTCTCCCTCTCAGCTTGTCAGCTCTGCCCAGCTCTTCTGCCTCAACCTCTTGTCCATTTGAGTTGTTCTCTTGAGCTTTCTGTGGAAGTCACATCCTCCCAGGCATCAGTCTCTTGTCCTGAACCTTCTCCTAGGGTCTTCTCTCCGGGGGCGTTGCAAGGTCCTGGCGGAATCTCTCTCTTCCCACCACCATTTGCCTCTCTCCCTCGTCCATCCTTGTTAGCCTTTCCCTATTTCTTTTCTTTTCTTTTTTTTTTTTAAACACTTAGATAACATTTACTATGTGGCAGGTATTGTGCTATACATACAATTATTGAATATCTACCCCCAGCATGTTGTCTGGCCCACGGCCAGCGGTCAGTTTGTTGAGTGAATGAACCCAGCCCCTATGTGCACACGTGCAAAGTTGCTGACTACCCCCTGGAACAGCCCATCACACTGACAGATAACTGGTGATTGGAAGGATCTTCTTTATATTGACCCCAGCTGCCTCCCTGCAATTTCCACCCTCTGATTCTATTTCTGCCCCTGTGGGGCCACACAGTACGAGCCTTAACTGTCCTTCCGCAAGCTCGACTTCGCAGCATCTGAAGACTCATTCGTCCCCCCAGCTTCTCCCTTCCCGACACTCCCTGCAGAGACTCCTCCGGGCTCCTTTCCGCGGCGGTGGTCCCCCTATTTCTAATGGACTCCCTGACGCCACCTTCCCTCTCCTTCTGCCTCTCATTTTCTGTCTCTGGATCTGTTTCTGGGTCTCTCTCTGTCTCTTCTCTGGCAGAGTCCCGGCCGCGGCCTGGTGGGCTCCTGATGTCCTCGTCCACGGCTAATGCTGGACTCCCACTCCTACCCCCCAGGGGAGGCAGGGCTCCTGCTGACCCAGGTGCTGCGTCACCAACCTTTCCTGGGCTACCGTGGGCCCCGGGAGCACACAGAAAGGAAGTTGGTGAAGAACGTGCGGCGCCCGAACGACCTTTACTACAACACCGGGGACGTGCTGGCCCTGGACGACGAAGGCTTCCTCTACTTCCGCGACCGCCTCGGGGACACCTTCCGGTCCCGCGGGGTTTCTCAGGGCGGGGCTTCTGGATTCTGGAGGGGGCGGAGCTTCGTGGACAGGAGGCGGAGCGTCTCCTTTCCAGGGGCGAGACTTGTAGATGCCGGAGGGGGCAGGGCTTGTGGAAGGAGGCGGGGCCTCTCCTTTCCAGGGGCGGGACTTCTGAATTCCAGAGGGGATGGGGCCTAGTCGCCAGGAGGCGGGGCTTGGTCAGGGGCGGGGCCTCCTTTCCTGGGCCCTGGTCCCAGCACCCCCTCCAACCCCGCAGGTGGAAGGGTGAGAACGTGTCCACGCGGGAAGTGGAGGGCGTGCTGTCACTCGTGGACTTCCTGCAGGAGGTGAACGTCTACGGTGTGCCTGTGCCAGGTGCGGAGGGTTCACCTCATTCTAACCCCCCAATTGCTTTGTGGGTGGTGCCGGAGCTTTGTTACAGGTGGGGGGCTGCTGGGACCCAGGGGAGAGAGTCAGTCGCGGGCACTGTGAGGTGGGTCCGCCGAGGATGCATGTGCTCCACAGGATGTGAGGGCAAGGTGGGCATGGCTGCCGTGCAGCTGGCCCCCGGCCAGGCGTTTGATGGGCAGAGGCTGTACCAGCACGTGCGCACGTGGCTCCCCGCCTACGCTGCCCCTCATTTCATTCGTATTCAGGTGAGCTCACCGTGGCTGGAGTAGGTGGGTGGGAGGTCTCGGCGGGACAGTCACAGTCGGGGTTACAGTCCCTGCCCTTGCAGGACGCCTTGGAGATCACAAGCACGTTCAAACTGGTGAAGTCGCGGTTGGTGCGCGAGGGCTTCAACGTGGGCATTGTTGCTGACCCCCTGTACCTGCTGGACAACCAGGCCCGAGCCTTCCGGCCCCTGACTCCAGACATATACCGGGCAGTATGTGAGGGAGCCTGGAGACTCTAACCATCGGGTCAGCCCACAGGACGTCCGAAGGCACTAGGCCCAACGCTGATCACCACCCCCTCTTGTATCGTCACCCACACCCCAGACCTGCACGGCGTCGTCAGGAATCCCAGCCTCTCCTTATCCCCAGCTGCACAGTGTGGGATGACCCTGGCCCCGCAGCAGAGCGAGAATAAACTTGGATGTGTACACAGATGTCTGTGTGGATGGGGAAACAAGCAAGGAGTGCAGGGGCCGGTGCCCTCACTTACCTCAGGGTCCCCCCCTCCCACTTGAGGAGTGGTCAAGGCCAGGGGTGTGGGAGGAGCCCGCAGGCCCACAGCCACCCCAGGTGGAGAGACAATTCTATCTGTGGGTCATTTGTGGCCTCTGATGCAGCTGAGGCTTGGCTAGGCCAGTGGATGTGGGCGTGGTCTGGAGGATGTGGGGAGAAGTGCCATGATGGGCAGTCTGACAAAAGCCAGAGGGCGTTGGACTGAGGCAAGAAGGGTGTGACTGGGGGAGGAGTGTGTCTGGCAGAGTGCATGTGCAAAGGCCCCGTGGCAAGTCCCTCTGGGGGAAGCAGAGGCAGAGCCTTCTGGAGAACAGAGTACACAGTGTCTTAGGGTCCATTGTGGGAGCAGTGGGCAGGGGGATGTTAGCAGGAGCAGTTGTTGCTGGGTGACGTCCCCGAGGCAGTATCATGGTCCCACGGGCCCCTGGGCACTTTAAGGTGGGTTTGCTATGAGGATCTTCCGGTCAGTGGCGGCGGCCGGGCGCTGTGTGCAGCCTGAGCAAGCAGACTAGGCCCTGCGGGCCACCCCTGTGGTTATCTTCCGGGATGTGGCAATTCCTGTTGTCATTGACTGTTTCTCTGCCCTTGGGGCCAAGGGAGCCCCGTCTGTCCCCCACAGAACCACAGCCCCTTCTTGGCACCGGTGCACACAGCTGGACTCAATCTGGGCCCACTGTGGTCCAGCCCGCCTCCCTGCACACACGAGTTCATCAGGTTTGTTCACACGCCTGTTCCCTCCATGAGAGACCCTGGCTAGGAAGGGAGCTGGGGCTGTGTGAACATAGCAGCAGAGGCCCCGGCTCGCCACCCCTGCTTTGGCCCAGGCCTACTTCCTCCTGGAGCACACAGTAGGTCCAGTATCGTTTGATAGCTGGCACATAGCAGCAGAGACTGGGCTGGTCCAGGTTGAGGCGCAGTGTCCTGCCCTTAAGGCCCTTGTACCCTCCGGGACCAGAAACCAGCTTGGAAGAGAGCTTGGAATGTATGGATGAAGCAGTAGAGGCTGCCACTGGCCACCCCACTGCGACCAAGTGCTCCTGCCATGACTGGTCACTGTCCCTTAAGATCTGCTGGGCACTGCTCTACAGGTTCTCCAGGCTTCCCTGGAGAAGGAAAAGCTGCCCACCGCCTGTGCCAGCATGAGCCGATACGTCCGCTTCTCTTGCATGTACCATGCTGCGAGTGGGGTGAAGTTGTGGCCATCACCCCCGATGAGGAACACTGCGTTCCTGCACCCAGGTCAAGGGGCCCTGACTGGTGAGGCCGTGTCACTGCATTTCCTCTTGACAGAGGAGGCTAGCGTCTGGGATGTGAGCCGAAGAGACCCACCCAGTCAACAGAAGAACATGTGCTGGGATGCCTGGAGAGTGGCGCGGGGGGACGTGTGCTGGACGCGAACCTGGGTCTGTGGATCCCGGAGGTTTCAGTGTGGATTGAGAGCGGGCCGCTTACAGCCTGGATGGCCTGGGGCAATGCCTAGAACCCCTTACCTCCCGAGCACTGTCTTTCTTCATTGTAATGGGTGATCGTGTCCACCTCAACAGATGTTTATGGGGATTAAACAAGATAGAAGTGCAGGGAAAGTTCCCCACAAGGGCTACCTGTCGGCCCTGACATGGGCATCCTGGCTCGGCTCTCACTGCGGGCCTGTTTCTTCATCAGCAGCGTCACTGGGAGGGATCATTGTCAGCAACAACAGGATCAAACTGTACCTAAGAACCCTCAAGATTGCCCTTGTAGCTGGGCTAATGCGGGTACGTCTCAGTCAACAGTCTGTGTCACCCTCATCCCATCTCACAGGGTGGGTGTAGCGTTATTCCCACTTTACCGTCAAGGAAGCCCCGGCTGAGGGGGTGCTTCAGCCATGAGTTATTTAGCCAGTACCATCAGGGCAGGCGTCAAGTCCCTCCGTCATCGCATGGATGTTATAAAAAGATCTCACTATGGATCTGAAGGCTTACAGGTTCACCAGCACTTTAAACAAATTCCTGCCCCTGCAAGCCCCAGTCAGCTTCGGACATTCACAGTTTTTGCTATTACCTTTGCAAGGATTAAAACATAATTGTTGGGGCTTCCCTGGTGGCTCAGTGGTTAAGAATCCTCCTGCCAATGCAGGGGACACGGGTTCGAGTCCTGGTCCGGGAAGATCCCACATGCCGTGGAGCAACTAAGCCCATGAGCCACAGCTACTGAGCCTGTGCTCTAGAGCCCGCAAACCACAACTACTGAAGCCCGCGAGCCACAACTACTGAAGCCCGTGCGCCTAGAGCCCGTGCTCTGCAACAAGAGAAGCCACCGTAATGAGAAGCCCGCGCACCGCAACGAAGAGTAGCCCCCGCTCGCCGCAACTAGAGAAAGGCCACGCGCAGCAAGCAAGAGCCAATGCAGCTTAAAATTAAAAAAAAAAAATGTGGCTGGTGGCCCCAGCTTTCTCTCCCAAAGGCTGCTCATGTTAACGCCAGCAAGGAGGTTTGCGCCTGTTGTTGTTTTCTGCTGCCTTGTCAGGTAGAGTCACAGCTTGGAGCCACTTTAAATCCCGTGTCTTCAAGTGACAGGGACATTGGCTGTTCCTCCTCGCGACTTCTCCATTTGTGTGTTTTGCTGACTTTCCTTTGGAGGTTTGCCTTGTTCTTAACAATTTAAAGGAGTCCTTCAAATTTGTCTTTTCAGGATATTAGCCTTTTATCTGTACTGGGTGGCACAGATTTGGAGCAGACTCTCTTAATCTTGTTTCTGTATCTCTTTGCTGTACAGAAATTAGACTTTTATGTAGTCACATAAGATTAAGCCAGTTCCGTAAAATAACTGGATAGATTTCTGTATCCCTGGGCTTCCGTTGTAGAAAATCCATTACTAATGGATTTTTAACTGTGTTGCCATGGGGTTGCTCATAATATCCATAAATGTATATTTCCTTATATCTCTGATACAAGTCTATTTGGTGGGTACATTTCACTCTTTTTTCATGACTAGACTTACATGCTTTAGTGGCCTGTCTCATTTCTTTGCTCAGGTTCAGTGGCGTCATCTATTTTATTTATTGTTCTGTGCAGAGAGCTCTATTTGGGATTTATTTGCTCTACTCTTCTGGATTGGTCTTTTAAGTTTGTGTACTGTCCCTGCGTGTGTAAACTTCTGGGGTGACGAGCGGGCACGGCCGGGAGAGCCGGCACAAGCGGTCCTCTCCGCTGGGCCAGGCTGTCCTCACTTCACCCCTGAAAACAAGATCCCTGTAAGCCTACCCTGTGAGCAGAGTCTGTGAGCCGCCTCTAGCTTCACTCTGCCGTTGTTTTGTGACTTCAGGCCTTTACCCCAAACCATGTCTCCCTCACGCTGACTTGGGCCTCAGGGCCCTAATATACATTTTGCAACAGAAGAAAAGCAAGTTTGATAGCCCCCGCGAAAGACTCTTTCCCTTTTGGATGTCAGCAAATAGATCGTACAGCAAGACACAGTCTGATTTGGGAGTCCCTTCTTGGCCTGGCAAATTCAGTGGACAAGAGTCAATTTACTATGAAACAGCGATTCCTTCTCTGATCCAGAGGTCTTTTCGGGAGAATTGTCAATAGTTTGCTTTTTTGGTCTTATTTCTAAATGTGTTTGATTACGATTAAAAAGGTAGATCCTATAACATCTCTTTATCACACTTCACACCCTTTAGCGTGGTTATAAAAAAAGACAATAACGGGCTTCCCTGGTGGCGCAGTGGTTGAGAGTCCGCCTGCCGATGCAGGGGACACGGGTTCGTGCCCCAGTCTGGGAAGATCCCACATGCCGCGGAGCGGCTGGGCCCGTGAGCCATGGCCGCTGAGCCTGCGCGTCCGGAGCCTGTGCTCCGCAACGGGAGAGGCCACAACAGTGAGAGGCCCGCGTACTGCAAAAAAAAAAAAAAAAAAAAAAGACAATAACAAGTGTTGGGGAAGGTGTGGAGAAACTGGAAGCCTTGTACGCTGCTAGTGAGAATGCAGAAGAGTGCAGCTGCTTTAGAAAACAGTCATCTCAAGGTTAAATGTAGAGTTACTGTATGATCAGTAATTCCAGTGCTAACATACTCTTTTTTTCCCCCTATAAATTTATTTATTTTTGGCTGCGATGGGTCTTCGTTGCTGCGTGGGCTTTCTCTAGCTGCGGCGAGCGGGGGCTACTCTTCGTTGCGGTGCACGGGCTTCTCACTGCGGTGGCGTCTCTCGTTGCGGAGCATGGGCTCTAGGCGCACGGGCTTCAGTAGTTGTGGCTCGCGGGCTCTAGAGCGCAGGCTCAGTACTAGTGGCGCACGGGCTTAGTTGCTCTGTGGCATGTGGGATATTCCCGGACCAGGGCTCGAACCTGTATCCCCTGCGTTGGCAGGCAGATTCTTAACCACTGCACCACCAGGGAAGTCTCCTAACATAATCTTATACCCAAGACAGATAAAAACATATGTCCACACAAACCCTCGCACATGAATGTTCATAGCAGCATTATTCACAGTACCAAAACGTGCAAACAACCCAAACTGTCCAAACAACTTAGGAATGGATAAACACAATGTGCTACATGCATGCAATGGGATATTATTCGGCAGCAAAAAGAAGAAGCCCTGATAGATCCGCAGAGACAGAAAGGAGACTGGTGATCGTCAGGGGCCGGGGAGGAGGAGTTGGGGATGACTGCTAACAGGTGTGCGTTTTTTGGATAATGTGAGAAAATGTTTAAATGTGTGGTGATGGAAGCACAGCTCTGTGGATAGACTAAAAACCACTGAATTGTATACCTTCAAGGGGTGAATTGCATGGTATGTGAATATCTCCATAAAGCTGTGAAAAATCTCTACACTGAAATGTAACATTTTATGATGTTTGCATTCATTTTTATTTTGTAGAATATGAAGCTATTACCTGTCTTGATGGTGAGCCTGTGGCCTCCCTTCAAAGCCCTGCTCTCCTCGCCCTGCTTCAGCCTTGCTCAGCAGCTCTGGGGTGTGGTGCTCCACCCAACTCTGGAGCGTCTTAATCTAGTACCATGGCTCCCACAGTGGGCAGTGGGCACCCGAGGGGGCCCACTGGTTTTCTTTTTCCTTTTTAAAAATTTTTTTTGAATTTTATTATTTTTTTCAGACAGCAGGTTCTTATTAGTTACCTATTTTATACATATTAGTGTATACATGTCAATCCCAATCGCCCAGTTCATCCCACAACCACCACCCCCGCCACTTTCCCCGCTTGGTGTCCATACTTTTTTTTTCTACATCTGTGTCTCTATTTCTGCCCTGCAAACCAGTTCATCTGTACCATTTTTCTAGGTTCCACATACATGCATTAATATATGATATTTGTTTTTCTCTTTCTTACTTACTTCACTCTGTATGACAGTCTCTAGATCCATCCACGTCTCTGCAAATGACCCAATTTTGTTCCTTTTTATGGCTGAGTAATATTCCATTGTATATATGTACCACATCTTCTTTATCCATTCATCTGTTGATGGGCATTTAGGTTGCTTCCATGACCTGGCTATTGTAAATAGTGCTGCAATGAACATTGGGGTGCATGTGTCTTTTTGAATTATGGTTTTCTCAGGGTAAATGCCCAGTAGTGGGATTGCTGGCTCATATGGTAGTTCTATTTTTAGTTTTTTAAGGAATCTCCATACTGTTCTCCATAGTGGCTGTATCAATTTACATTCCCACCAACAGTGCAAGAGGGTTTCCTTTTCTCCACACCCTCTCCAGCATTTGTTGTTTGTAGATTTTCTGATGATGGCCATTCTAACTGGTGTGAGGTGATACCTCATGGTAGTTTTGATTTGCATTTCTCTTATAATTAGTGATGTTGAGCATCCTTTCATGTGCTTCTTGGCCATCTGTATGGCTTCTTTGGAGAAATGTCTATTTAAGGCTTCTGCCCATTTTTTTGATTGGGTTGTTTGTTTTTTAATATTGAGCTGCATGAGCTGTTTATATATTTTGGAGATTAATCCTTTGTCCGTGGATTCATTTGTAAATATTTTCTCCCATTCTGAGGGTTCTCTTTTTGTCTTGTGTGTAGTTTCCTTTGCTGTGCAAAAGGTTTTAAGTTTCATTAGGTCCCATTTGTTTATTTTTGTTTTTATTTCCATTTCTCTAGGAGGTGGATCAAAAAAGATCTTGCTGTGATTTATGTCAAAGAGTGTTCTTCCTATGTTTTCCTCTAAGAGTTTTATAGTGTCCGGTCTTACATTTAGGTCTCTAATCCATTTTGAGTTTGTTTTTGTGTATCGTGTTATGGAGTGTTCTAATTTCATTCTTTTACATGTAGCTGTCCAGTTTTCCCAGCACCACTTACTGAAGAGGCTGTCTTTTCTCCATTGTATATCCTTGCTTCCTTTGTCATAGATTATTGACCATAAGTGCGTGGGGGCCCACTGTTTTAATCATCTTCTCTTCAACCAGCCCTAGGGCTATGGGGAGTGGCTGCACGCACAACACGTGTAGATGAGCTCACAGCCTGCGGAGGAGAGCACCTCACACCACAGGGTCACGTGCTCTTGGGTGGCCCCTGGCCCCTGCTGCAGGATGTGTGACTGGCTTTCTGGAATAATTCTGCAGGCTTGGCAGGATCAGCCATTTGATGGGGAGGGCTGTGTGACTTGGGGCTGTTACTGCAGGAGTAGTGGAGGGAGGGAGGGGGACTTGCTACCTGCCCTTGGGGCGCTCCTGGTTTCAGGAGTTAGGGAGGCACCTAGAATCGGGCTCTGCTTTTAGCCTTTCCCCACATCCGCAGATGCTTCCACAGTCAGACGGACCCGTGTCAGATTTTGGCTCTGCCAATCACTGGGTCACCTCAAGTAGGCTGACCTCAGGAGCAGCGGCAGAGGAAGGAGAAGGGGCTGGAGGGAGACCCAGGTGAGGAGGAGAGGCGCTTGGGGTGGTCGTGAGGATCACAGGAGACTGGGGGCGGGGGGCGAGCAGCTGGAACTGGGCAGGAAGACACCTCCTGCAGCCTCAGCCCAGAGACAGCCCAGGGGATGGCAGGGGTAAGGGGCTGCCACGGGAGGGGTGGCCTGGCCCGGTTTCTAACGTGAAGAGGTAGATTCTGGAAGCTGCCCTGCAGGCTGACCATGCTGCTGAACTGGCTGGGGCAAGCGGTCTAAGAAAAGCGAGGGAAGGGACTTCCCTGGTGGCACAGTGGTTAAGACTGCGCTCCCAGTGCAGGGGGCCCGGGTTCGATCCCTGGTCAGAGAACTAGATCCCACATGCATGCTGCAACTAAGAGTTCACATGCCGCAACTAAGGAGCCCACCTGATGCAACTAAGACCTGGGGCAACCAAATAAATAAATAAATGAAAAAAAAAAAAAGACCCGGCACAGCCAAAGAAAGAAATATTTAACAACAACAACAAAAAAGCGACGGAAGATGAGGACGGTGATGGATCTGACTACGTGAAAATTCCAAAGTCAGATCAGATGCATGAAGATGTGACCAGCGGTGTGGCCCACACCGTGCATTCACAGGAGAGGAAACCCACGTGAGCGGCTGTGGGGAGGAGGGTGCAGCCCGCCTGGCACCCATGGAGAAACAGTGCACTTGGGTTCTGCCTGCAGGATGGAGAAGTCGGTAGAGAACGGGAGACCAGGGTGTTCTAGCTGCCAGGGAGCCCTTCTGGAGGGAAGGCAGACAGGCGGGCCCCACGTTTCCGGAAGACACTGACATATCCATGAGAATTTAAAAATCCCATGGTCCAGGGCTTCCCTGGTGGCGCAGTGGTTGAGAATCCGCCTGCCAATGCAGGGGAATACGGGTTCGATCCCTGGTCTGGGAAGATCCCATATGCCGTGGAGCAACTAAGCCCGTGCACCACAACTACTAAGCCTGCGTGCCGCAACTACTGAAGCCCGTGTGCCTACAGCCCGTGCTCCGCAACGAGAGAAGCCACCGCAGTGGGAAGCCCGCGCACCGCAACGAAAAGCAGGCCCCGCTCACCGCAACTAGAGGAAGCCTGCGCGCAGCAACGAAGACCCAATGCAGCCAAAAAAAAAAAAAGGCGTTCTGGATGATCCGAGTGGGCCCAACGTCACCACGAGGACCCTCAGAGGTGGAAGGGGAGGCAGAGGACAGTGGCAGGGTGACGCCCTGTGGGAGAAAGCCGACTGGCCACCGCTGGCTCAGAAGGTGGGGAAGGGCCGTGAGACCGGCTCGCAGGCCATCTCTAGGGTGGAAAAGTCGAGCACACGGGATGGGTTCTCCCAGAGACAGAAGGCACTCAACCCTGCCGCACCTGGAGCTTAGCTTAGTGAGACTGTGCCTGACCCCTGACCTCCAGAACTATAAAATAATGTTTTAAGACAAAAGAAAAAGGAAAAAACAAGAACAGAAATCCCATGCTCCCGGAAACTCACCGCTCCCACTTTGGGGTGTGTCTGTTCTGAGGAAACAGCTAGGTTGCATCTGGGGTGTCTGCTCAGGTGCGGCCACCACAGCACTGGGTGCTAAGGGGGGCGGGAAACAAGGAACTATCTGGGCTTGGTGGGAACAACACTGCCGGCCAGAAAACGGGATTTCCACCCCAGCATTTTTAATAACACAGGGAGCTGCGTGGTAAGAGCACGATTCACAACGTACAGTAGCTTCACAAGCTGTGTGACACAAACCCCCGTGGATGAACACTGAGAATAAGACAGCAGCATTAGGAATCGTTTTTGCGATCTCCTTTGCCCTCTTGTATACTTCAGATTTCTCTAAGTGAACATAAACTACTTTTAAATATGCAAAATTGCATTAGAAGATAGCCCATCGCTCTCCCTCAGCACCTGGCGGTCCTGACATTGGGCCCTCGGCCTGGCCTGAGTGCTCGGGCCCTGCTCTGTCCTCTTCCGCCGTGTCCCCGGCATGGATGAAGCTTCCTGCTTGCCAACCAGATTGTAACAGGGAAGCACCTTTGTATTGTGTTACAAGTTAGTAACCGGAGGGATGTTGCCTATAAGCTTCAATATACACAATGGCCCATTCCTGGGAGCCCTGCCTCCCAGGTATAATGGGCGTTAAGCTAAAATACCTTTGTTCAGCTCCCAGGAAACCTCCTGACCAGGCCCCCCTGTGAATGACTGCAGGGAGAAGAAACGAACACATCCTCTCCCGGAGCTGATCTGAGCCAGGAAATGTTTCACTTTACTCCCTCCCCTTTCAGTATGAAAGAAACCTGAATTTTAACTCACGCAAGATGGTTCTTTGGGGCACGAGTGCACCACTTTCTTGGTCTGCTGGCTTTCTATTTTTTTTAAAAGCACTTTCTTTTTTTTTTTTTTTTTGCGGTACGCGGGCCTCTCACTGTTGTGGCCTCTCCCGTTGCGGAGCACAGGCTCCGGACGCACAGGCTCAGCGGCCATGGTTCACGGGCCCAGCCGCTCCGCGGCATGTGGGATCTTCCCAGACCGGGGCACGAACCCGTGTCCCCTGCATCGGCAGGCGGACTCTCAACCACTGCGTCACCAGGGAAGCCCAGCACTTTCTTTTTTAATGAATTTTTGGCTGCGTTGGGTCTTCGTTGCCGCACGCGGGCTTTCTCTCCAGTTGCGGTGGGCTTTTCATTGCGGTGGCTTCTCGTTGTGGAGCACAGGCTCTAGGTATGCGGGCTCAGTAGTTGTGGCTCTCGGGCTCCAGAGCGCAGGCTCAGTAGTTGTGGCGCACGGGCTTAGTTGCTCTGCGGCATGTGGGATCTTCCCAGACCAGGGATCGAACCCGTGTCCCCTAGGTTGGCAGGCGGATTCTTACCACTACACCGCCAGGGAAGTCCCGAGTCCGCTGACTTTCTGAATAAAGTCACTATTCCTTGCCTCAACAACTCGGCTCTCAATTTATTGGCCTGTGGTGCGGCCAGCAGTACAAGCTGGGACTCGGTAACAAGATCACCAGTGCCCGGTTCCATCTCCAGCCTGGCTCTACTTCCCCAGGCCTGAGTGTGGCCGACAGGTCAAAGGTCCTCAGAAGACTGGGCATGGAGGAGACGGGTCCTCCAGATGGAGGCCTCTCCCTCCCAGTTTCAGGCTGCAGCAAGGTCCTCCCCACGCAGCCCAGGTGTCCACCCCACCTCTGCTAGTAACCATGGTCACAGCCACACTCAACACCCACCTGCCACCCCTGCATGAGCCTGAGGCTGCGGAGGGCTCCTTCTGTGGGTGCACCTGTTTCCCTGAAACCACGTCCCACAAAAATGTCCCTTGTTTTCAGAGCAGAAAGGTGACAGAGAAGGGTGTGGAATAACAGTCCCCAAAGACACCCATGTCCTAATCCCTGGAACCTGTGAATGCTGTCTCACGTGCAGAAGGGATTTTGCAGATGAGATCAGGTGTGTAGGTGGGGCATGGATGAGATGTGACCCCGAGATGGGGAGATCATCATGGGTTACCAGGGGAGCCGTAGATGTAACCCTGAGGGTCTTTACAAGGGGGAGGCAGCATGAGACTTAACCATCCACTGCTGGCTTTTAAGATGGAGGAAGGGGCCACCACCGAGGAACGTGGCAGCCTCTACAAGCTAGAAAAAGCCTTAAAGTGGATTCCCCCCTTAGAGCCTTCAGGAGGAACCAGCTGTGCTGACACCTTGATTGGGCCCAGTGAGACCCAGTTCAGAGTCCTAAGAGAGTACGTTTTGTGTTGTTTCAAGCCACCGAGCTCGTTAGAGCAACAGCAGGAAAGTAGTACAGTACACTGGCCAAAGTCCTGAATGCCCACAGACGGACTGCCGTGGGCAGCAGGCGGCTGATCCTCCGCCCTCCTGCTCTGTGACTCACTCACCTGCCAGCATGCGTGGCCTAAGTCACATCTGTTCTCAGACGCCATGCTTGTCCATCCAGACTTGGAAAGAAGTTCCCTTAATGTCCGTTCAGGCTGGGACTCGACAGCTGGAAGGACAAGGCCAGGGAGTGATGTGTGTGGCCGAGGAACAGGTAAGCCGGACACCGACCCTGCTCGTGGGCAGGCAGCTCTGAAGCTCCAACTGCCGGGCAGGAAGGGCAGGGGCTGCTGATCCGACCAGCAGAGACTAGAGATCAGGATTCTTACGCAGAAGCTTCTCCAGGAGAAAACTGGAATTTGTTAAAAATCTAAAACGCACAGTGGCCAGACTTTAGCCTTCCACCTGCCTGCAAACAGAAGTAGGCTGTGCGCTCCTGGGCTTCCTGCACCGGCCTGCACCATGTCACAGGAAGGGGTTTGGAAGCCACCTGGCCGCCGCGGGTCCGGTGGGTCGGTGCACTGGAGCCCAGGCCTCTCTCTCTGAAAGGTGGGGTGGGCGAGACAGGAGAGGAGGGAGCCGCGTCTTTGGGGGGAGACTGATCGGGGGTGGGGGACCCTCCTGGGACTCTGACTTCTGGCCTGGGCGGCCTCCAGCTCTCCAGGCTGCGGCGGAGTGGAGTAGCAGGGGCGGGCTGGGCCCGGGGCCCCGGCGAGGCGCCCCTCCTGCGCTCACGGGGCCTCGGGCCGGTGGCTCTTGCGGTGGATGACCAGCTGGGACTTCCAGTCGAAGCTGTGGCCGCAGTCGCCGCAGAAGTGGCGCCGCTGGCCGGCGTGGCCCTTGCGGTGGATGACCAGCTGCGACTTCCAGCTGAAGCTGCGGCCGCACTCCTCGCAGGCGTAGCTGCGCGGGCCCGGGAGCGCGCGCCGGGGCGGCCCCACCGGCTGCTTCTCGGCGCCCGGGCCGCCCGCGTGCGCGCGGCGGTGGATGACGAACACCGACTTCCAGTCGAAGGTGCGGCCGCACTGCGCGCACGTGTAGGGCTTGCTCCGCGCGGGCGGCGGGGCCTCCGGGCAGCCGGGCCGGCCCTCTCGGGAGCTCTCGCTCTCTCCTCCTGGTGGAGGGCCAGAGGTGGCAGAGCCAGGTCGCCTGGTGACTCCGCCCGCAGCCCCCCAGGCGCGGGGCGGCCTGGGCTCCCCGCCCCCCCGCCCCCGTCGCCACCGGGGAGCGGGAGGCCACTCACCCGGGAGGAGGCTTCTCGCTCCCTCGGATCCGGTGCTCAGCGCCTCCGGCTCCGGCTCAGTGCGCGCCTCCGGCAGGGGACACGGCAACCCTGCTGGGGTCGGGGGCCCGTCAGGCGCCAGCCCTGGCACGGGGGCGTGAGGTGTTCGCACAAATGAGGGACAGGGGTGGGGGCCCCGGCGGGTGGCCGGGGTGCGGATTGGGAAGCGCCGGGAGGCAAGGTGCGCGCAAGGACCCGGAGGAGAGGGGTCCTCACCCAGGGAGACCACCGTGCCGTATTTCTGCAGCATCGCGTCCCAGTACACCTCCTTCTGTGACCGGTCCAGGAGCCCCCACTCCTCCTGCAGTGACGCGGCCCATCACCCACAGAAGGCCCGTCTACCCCGCACCCCACCCGGCCCATCCCATGGGCCCAGCCTTGTTAATCACCTGGGGAGCGGCAGGTAAACCACCCTCACCTGCCTGGGGGTGGGGCTAAAGAGGAAGCTGAGATGGGAACCTGTGAGCGCTGGGGATGCAGGGCCGGGAAGGGAGCTGCCTTCTGGCTCACCTGGGGGATGCACCAGTCCCCCTCAGCTGCCCCACCCCATGTTCTGGACGCACAGGTGGAAGCTGAGGACCCATCAAGGATGGGCCTTGAACAGTGGTGCTGCACCGAAAGCAAAAGGCCAGGGGAATGCAGGGGCCCCAAGCACGCCTCCCAGGCCTCTGGTTTCAAGAGTAATGGAGATCCTCCTTGGGGAAGTGTCACGGGCCTCAGCATCCCTGGCTGTGGGGACCGGGCTGCAGGGAGGCCAGGCACAGCCTCCCACTCAGGACATGGCTGGGCTGGCTCCTGGGTGCCGGGGGTGGAAGCAACCATGGCCTTCAGGCTGCGGCTGGGTCCTGGGCGACTTCTCAGTGTGGAGTGGATTAGGAAGTGTCGCTGGGAGAGGACAAGACCCCTGCTGCCCACACTCAGGAACCAAGCCCGCTGGGTGGCAGGGGCTTCCATGCCCAGCTGGTCGCAGCTGAGGGCTGGTTGGCCTTGGAGAAAAGCCCGGGCAGAGGGGGAGCTGCGGGCATTTCCTGGGAAGATTGTCTCCACTCTGATCTCAGGTGTGCAGGGAAGGCCAGACTGCTGGGTGGCACTCAGGCTTTCCTGGTCATCCTGTCCCCTCCCCAGGTGCCAGCTCAGAACTGCTGGGAGCTGTCAACACGCTAACTGGCTTCTCTGTAAGTGGGAAGCCAACCCCTGCCAGTTCCAATCACTCTAAACCAGAATCCCAGTTACCTGAGGCCAAAATCCTTTCCAAGCACTGGTCTGTCCCCCTGCCCCCCAGGACCTGCAGGGGGTACCCTGATACCAACTCCACTTTGGGGGAGCAAAGAGCACAAGAAGTGCTGGCCAAGGAGCCTGGACAACTGGCAGGACACTCTCCTCCCACTGTGGGCCTGCACCTGTCACCAGGGGCTGCTCACCTGAATCCTGGGTGGCTGAAAGGGCACGGAGGTCGGTTCCTGTTGTTCAGCGGGCCCCTCATGGGACCGGGCTGGATGTGGGGGGCTGGACGGTGCTAGGAAGCAAGGCAGACAGGGGTCAGGGGCTCCCACGTGAGCCAGAGCAGGCGAGGAGCTGGCGCTGGCGTCGCAGCCTGGGCCCTCCTCGGCAGCAGGGAGGAGTCCTCTGTGTGTACCAGGCACATAGCAAGCAGGCAGCCAGCCAGCCCTTCCCTCCGGCCTCCCGGGGACCCCACTCTGCAGTCTGCAGTCCCTGCGGGTCCCGCTCCCAGGGGGGGACACCCGCACTCCCTCCAGGAGCCCCCAGCTCCAGCACAACCTCATCTGGGTTCCCCGCCCTAGCTGGGGACGTTCGCACTCTCTCAAGGAGGCCCCAGCCCTCGCGCACCCCCGCTCTCACCTGTCTCCTGCCCGTAGCCATCAGGCTCCTCCTTCACGCTGCAGCTGAGCTGGGCATTCTCCTCCAACTGGGCATCCTTGGACCCCTCCCAAGAGGCTGCCTTTCGGGGCTCCACTGTCCCTGAAGGGTGGGAGCTCCCCACAGACTCCTCTGTGTTCTGTGCGGCTGGGAGCACCGCTTGCTTCAGGACATGTGCTGTAATCTGAGGGGGAGAGGTAAGTCATTGGGGCGCTGGTCTCTCTGTCCCTCCAAGAAGCCAACACCACCACACTCACCCAGCCCAGAAGCTGCCCAGGGTCATGCTGCAGGCCCTCGACCAGGACAGTGGCCTCCTCAGGGCTGCCTGGTTGCTGTCCCCGCACCCAGGCCTGGATCTCGGGGGGCAGCGCGCCCAGGAACTGCTCCAGCACCAGCAGCTCCAGCATCTGCTCCTTGGAGTGCACCTCGGGCCGCAGCCACTGGCGGCAGAGCTCCCGGAGCTGGGCCAAGGCCTCGCGGGGACCGGCCACCTCCTGGTAGCAGAAGCCCCGGAAGCGCTGGCGTGCTGCCTCAGGATCCTCCTGGGTGGCCTCGGGGTCCACAGAGGGCAGACTCGGGGGGCCCAGTGGGGATGGCATTGCTGTGCCGGGAGTCTTCTTGGGGCCACCAAAGGGGACCTGCAGGAAAGGAGGGGTCAGGGTGCTAGCCACAAGGCCACAGCCAGGGTAAGGCACTGTGCAGAGAGGCCCAGCCCAGGGGGCTGAGGCTGTGACAGAGAGGACCGTGGTGTGGGGATGCTTGCGGCTGAACTGGGGAAAGCTTCATGGAGGGAGGGGTCACAGGAGCTGGAACTGAGAGCGGAAGAAACTGACACTTGGAGGCAAGTTACCAGTGGAGCTTCCAGGAAACTGCAGGGAACTGTCTGTCGGGAGATGATGCTGGAGCGCAGGCAAGAGGAGTTAGCACAGGCTTCCAGGGTCAGGCTGAGGAGCCCCGGCAGGTGCCCCCGCGGCGGAGAAAGGGGGTAGCCAGGGAGGCGGTGGGGCCGTGATCCAGGGTGAGAACTGGGGCCAGGCTGCCTGTCCCCACCATCTCTGGGACACGCTGACCCAAGTGGGGCACCCTGAGGGGCTGGCTTGCGCCACGGCTCGAGGCAAGGGCTGATGTGGACCCCGAGACACCGTGCTCGCTGACCGCGGAGAGCTGTGCATGACTCACACGGTATGGACCGTGCGTGTGAAATGCAGAAGCAAAGCAAAACGGAATCACGAGTTGTGTGGAGCGGTGGACGGGCAACTGTGTCCCGGCCCTGCAGAGGGTCTGGAGTGAAACACGCCCACTTTGGGAGTGGGGGGGTCCTCTCCGATAGGCTGGACTAGGTCTGACTCCTGGAGTCCGCCTTCCACAGAGGAAAGGGGGGCAGGTCTTCCCGAAGGAGAGGAACGGGGCTGCGGAAGGGAGGAGGGGCCCGGGAGAAGGCTCGGAGGTGGGGCACGTCGGGAGGTAGTGGAAAGGCCACGTCCACCCAGCCGGCCGGTGCTCACCTCGGCCACCCGAGGCCACTTCGGGTAAGTGGGCCCACGCGGTCCCGCGCGCCTCTCCCCGGACCCAGCGGTCAGCCCCTCGCGCGTTGCCCTGGCGACGCCGCCCTGGCCAATCACACGTCTGCTCCGAAGGCAGCACCACCCCCTCCCTTCGGACTACATTTCCCATGAGCCTCAGCAAAACAGGGACAGGCGCGGCCTCCGCCAGTAGATGATCATTTTAGGAGGCCTCTCACGACTGAGAGGCGCCCCATGCCTCCGAGAGGAATCTGCAGAGTCGCAGGGTTTGGGGGACTCCCTCCCCTCCCCGGAAGCCGCTCTTCCTTTGTATCGCACCCTAGGACTCACCAACGGCGGAGACGTATGGTACCTTCGAATCCTGCGCATGTGCACAACAGGCCCGGCGCCTATTGGCAGGAGGTGACGGATGGGGAGGAGCGTGACCTTTCGGTCAATCAGGGTTGGCGCTACGCCTAGGCTCCTCCCCCAGAGCCCTACCTGAGGCTTCTTTCTGGTCGCCCGGCGGACGCCTTGGTAACCCCTGGAGCATAACCAACCTGCTCCAGCTGTTTCCAAGACAACGGCCCGAGGTCCTAGGAGGAAGCAGGGACCTACCAGGAAGGCTGGCCTAACCCACGGGCTTTCTCCGCCATCCCCGGGAATTTCTCCAGCGAGGATGGTGCTGGGGTCCTTCATTCGACCACTGCTGAGCGCCCTGCAGGGGCGGGGGGGGGACAGCAGGCACCCATCTCCTGATGAAGAAACTGTTCCATGATTTATACCCTCAGAGTCTCAGACATGCCTTCAGCTAGATCAGTACTGCAAAGTGAGGGCTGGAGGTTTTTGTCCAGAATTATGGGACGTGTTCAGCCTTTTATTTACTTTGGGGACCAGAACTAGTATATATCAGTAGACGATGTTATTGTTTTTAAAATCTGACTGTGGGTCAGGGTGTTTTGCTTCCACACATCAAATGGGTGAACAATGACTTATTATTTCGATCCTAAGGTGCATCTGCCTGCCTGTTTGAGTTTCTTCTAATACCTAGGAATCCCTGGCTACCAGGGATTTGATTTTTTCTCTGGGACTGTTCGGATTCCCCAGAAAGGACTCTTCCACCATCTACCCTGTGGGAAGAGCTGGAGCTCTAACAGCGTCTCCAGGAGCTCCCACTCAGTCATCTTTGTTTTGGGTCTCCCCTTCCAGGGGGCTGCTGGTTTTCAAGTCTTCTGGAATTCTGCAGCGTAAGCCTGATGGAATCTCCTTCCCCTTCCGCCAGCGCCAACTCAGCATTTGGCTTTCCCCAAATCAGTGACAGCTCTCCCACCCCCAACTACTTCTAGCTTCAGAATGCCGCTGCCTCCTCTTTTACCATCCTCATATTTGTAGGTTTGTGTTACAGTTAATTTATTGGCCGTGCCGCTTGCGGAATCCTAGCTCCCCAACCAGGGATCGAACCCGAGCCCCCTGCAGTGGAAGCGCAGAGTCCTAACCACTGGACCGCCAGGGAATTCTTAAGGGTTTGCTTTAAGGGCTCTCTGTGGTTTCAGTGGTCTTCTGGACCAAGTGAGATGCATGTGTTCAGTCCATCGTCTTGACCCAGAAAGCCCACGGATACCTTTTATAGTCATGACCTGTTCACGGTTGAGTGGAAGGGTCAGGCTGGCAGGACGTGGCCCAACATGATCAAAAAGGTTTGGGGGAGGACAACTTAGGGCCAAGACATGGGGGAAGGTGGGTGCTCATGGTTGCTGTTCCCACAGGAACAGGGCTGGAGCCTCTGACCACCCCTGGTGCTGGGAGGGTGGACTCGAGGAGGGTGGAGGAAAGGAGGGATAGTAGGGGCCAAGCACACAGGCAGGAAAGGCTCAGTGAAGCAGGGAGGAGGCTGGTGGGGAGACAGGATAGAGCACCAGGACCCAGCTTCTGTCCAAGGTGCGAAAAAGGTTGCAAGTGACTCTCTGGGCATCCACTTGGTGTTCAACACTCCTTTGCTCCTGAATCCCATGGGCTCCCTACAGTAGCCTTCTGTAAGCTCTGTGGGGTTTGTCTGCATCTCACAGCCATCCACACTGACCCTGAAGTGAGCTGCTCAAGAATCCCTCATGGGGGCCAGCCTGGGGGAAGATGAAATAGGGCGAGGCCAGGGCACGGACCAGCTCAAGAGAGAGGATGGGCCCCAAGAGGGGTGGACAATGCTCAGAGGACCTGCGCTTGAGGAGTTTTGGGGAGCCTGGCCCTGTGTGACTCTTCTCCCTACCCCTTGTCTCCTTTCCTTGCAGGAACTTGGGAGGTTTCAGGGGCGGAACCTGCTGGCAGGTGGACAGTTGGGGATGTGACGTCTCTGTTCTTTGGCAATGGCAGATACCTGCGAGGTCTTTGAGGTGATTGAACGGGAGCACCTGCTGGGTTGGGGTCAACCTTTCGGGTCTCCACGTGTGCCCCCTGCCTCAGATTCCAAGGCCTGGATCCACAAAGGCTCATGTCCCAACAGAGCTGCTGCTTGGGGCAGCCCCACCCTGTCCACGTCTCTTGGCTGCCAAGGGGACACAGACCTTCGGTGGGCCGCAGACAGGCTGCACCTCTACCCTGAGGCCTCTCAAAGGGACCAGGGTTGAAGTCAAGTCCCTGCAGCTGTGTGATGACACGTTTGCATCGTGCTGGGATGAAACCGGTTTCAGGCTGCTACCACTCACGTTTTTAAAAAGAAACCTTTATTAGAGAGCCTCTCTGGACTCTGTATTAAAACCTTCTGCACCATGACCTGGAGGCTGAGGCTGTGGACCTACACAGTGCCATGCAAGAATTTACAATGTCCCTCCATTCCAAGCTGTAAGTTCTAGTCTTTTTTTACCCCCAGTAAAAACACCATTAACTTCCTGCGGGTGAGGCCCAAGGTGGAGATGGGGCTTGTCTGTTGAAGGCCACAAGAAGCCAACCAGGCCCCCACCTAACTTGTCTGCCTCAGTGTCCCCACCCTGTGGGTTATGTCACACGGGGGAGGGGATCTTGGGAGGGCGCCACACACTGCCTTAGGTAATGGCAGGCACGTGGCCACTGGACCCCAGGGAATCGAGCAGCCCCATCTTGTCTCCTCTGCACCTGTTGTTACGGTCACCTCCAGTCAAGGCAGTGGGGATGGAAAGGCTCCTGTATCGCTGACTTTGGCAACAACAGGACACGGCCAAAGCTGAGGCTTGGACCACACTCTGAATGCACCAGCACAGCTGGGGAACCATCACTCTCAATCTCCGTCCTTCACCCGGGGACTTCCCGCCCCCACCCTCCTCCACCTCCTGAGGGTCCGCCGTGAGCAGCAAGCCACGCAGCCTTCACCCAGCCCTCAGGGCTGGCAGGCTAAGTGTGGGGGTAAAGTGGGGAGCTCTCTGGATGCTGGGCCGGTGGCCCTGCTCTTGTGCAACTCACGTCCCCTCTCTGTGCCTCAGTCTCCTCATCTGAGAAGTGGGGATACTAGCCACAGCAGCCACCTCACAGAGCTGTCAGGAGAAACTGTGCAGCGCTCAGAACGGGGGCTGGCGGTTGGCACGTATTGGCCCTTATCGAGATGCTGCCTGTCAGGGTGCTGCAAATACCCTCTGCAGGGCTGAATCTTTTCTCTTCCCTAGAGGAGGGAGCTGAGGCTCAGAGCCCAGCCACTTGTCCGAAGCCAGTACCTGCCTCCCCCATGACTTCCTGTCTTCTGGGCCTGTTCCCAGGAAGCCCTGGATGAACTGAGGGCTGGGGGAATACGCTGGGGGTAGGGGTGGAGAGGTTCCACACAGACCCTGTAGGTTGGGTGTAAACCTCAGAAAGTTCTCAGGACCACCTCCACCCCGTCCCAGCGCTTCCCGTTCGCGCGCACAGTCAAAATATGGGCGAACTGGCAGCACCATGCTGGCCTCCCCCTGGCCTTTGTTCAGCGTGACCGCTTGGGCCTGGAGGAGTGAGCTGTGGCTGACAAGAGGCAAATCTTGTCACCACGTGCAGGGGGGATGGCAGTGCACGTGCAGAGCTTCTCCACAGCGTGGCTCTGCAGAGGGCGGGGCCCCGTACCCATGGAAGGGACTCACAACAGGCCGGGGAAGGTCGGGGCTGCGACCTCAAGGCTCAGCTGTCTTTGGAACCGTGGCTGGGCCTGAGGCAGCAGTGGGCCCGGCTTCCTTCCCCAGTGTGCCTTCACACGATGCCCCCGAAGGAGGCCTGGCCTGGGGGAGCGGGCTGGCCCGGGGCCGCCGCGCTGGCTTCTCACCGGTGTGGAGCCTCTGGTGGTGGAAGAGGGCCGGACGCTCGCGGAAGGCGCGGCCGCACTGTGCGCACACGAAGGGCTTCTCGCCCGTGTGGATGCGTCGGTGGCTGAGCAGCACGGCGCCCTTGGCGAAGGCCTTGCCGCAGTCCGAGCAACGGAAAGGCCGCTCTCCCGTGTGCAGCAGCCGGTGCTGCCTGAGATTGGAGCTGTGGCTGAAGGCGCGGCCGCACTGCGCGCAGGCGAAGGGCTTCTCGCCGGTGTGCACGCGCCGGTGCTTGAAGAGCGACGAGCCCTGGCTGAAGGCGGCCCCGCAGAGCGCGCAGGCGAAGGGCTTCTCGCCCGTGTGCGTGCGCTCGTGCTGGATCAGGTGCGAGTTGCGGCAGAAGCTGCGGCCACAGCGCGTGCACGCGTAGGGCCGGCCCCCGGCGTGGATCTTGCGGTGCTGGCTGAGGTTGGAGCGGTGGCTGAAGGCCTTGCCGCACTCGGCACAGCGGAAGGCCTTCTCGGCCGTGTGGATGCGCTGGTGCCGCACCAGCGAGGAGCTGTGCCGGAAGGCCTGGCCGCAGGCCGGGCACGTGTAGGGCGTCTCTCCGCTGTGGATGCGCTGGTGCTGCGTCAGGTGCGACGTCTGGCTGAAGGCCTTGCCGCACTGCGCGCACTCGTACGGCCGCTCCCCGGTGTGGGTGCGCAGGTGCTTCAGCAGGTCCGAGCTCTTCACGAACACCTTGCTGCACGCCCTGCACTCGAAGGGCTTCTCCCCAGAGAGGAGGCCGGGGCCAGCGTGCAGGGCCTCGCCCAGTTCGGCCCAGGTCGGGGGCTCTGAGACAGCAAGCAGTCTCTGAGGCTCGCGCCAAGCCTCACCCATTCCTCGGTCCCCCTGAGCCTCTGGGGCGCCCGGGAAGGCTCTCCCCGGGGCCTCGCATGCGTACAGCTTCTGCCGCTCCGATGCCCTCGGCTGCTTGCCTGGTGCAGGGTGGTCTGCGAGGGCCTTCTCCCCGGGTGGGGCCCGCAGAGAAGAGGTCAGCCGCAGGCTGACGCTGGCCTCGCCGCTTTCCCAGTAGATCACAGACACCCCTGTGGGTTTCCTCTCCCGAGAGGGGGACACGCCGCGCCGACCCTCCAGGCTTTTCCCACACTCAGAGGCACCAGCGCTGGGGAGAACCCTAGTCGGTGCCAGAGGGGGGCCGTCCTGGAAGGGCCCTGGCAATGTTGCTTCTCCAGAAACATCTCTGTTCTCTGCCAGATGAGGGGAAGCTGAAGGACCAGAAACGGTGGACGCCTGGGTCACCCAGACAGGCCGCGTGGGTAGGCAAGGGGGCCCGCGGGACCGGCCGTGGAGGCTGGGGAGAGGAACTGGGGCCAGACTCCCTTCCTGCACGGAGCCCGTCCCCAGGGCACTCCCCAGGTGGGTTTGCCCCTTACACTGATGGCTACCTGAGGGAACAGATTTTACTCACCAACTCTGCTTGCTGACTGCCTCTCCCCTAGCAGGGTCAACCCCACAAAGGCAGGACCAGGAGCGGGCTGGGCAAGGCTGTGTCCCCAGTGCCACGAACGGGACTGGCCACTGCAAGTGCTCAACGATGAACACGTGAACAAACGGCCCCACAGATGAGGTGGTGAGGGAAGACGGGCAGGGTCTGAGGCCACACAGACTGGCTGAGGGTGGGATTCTGAGCAGGTCTCACCACGGCCTGGGGGTGGCCCTTGGAGCTCCCCTTCAAGGGCAGCCAAAGCCGGAGCCTCCAGAAGAGGCTGATGGTGAAAGGAGTCGGTCGGGTGGGAAGCTGGAGAGGAGAGCATCCAGGAGGGAAGGTGGACAGAAGCTTGGCCATAGGTTGGCCCCAAGTTCACACCCCTGAGCCCCCACTCACCAGGGCTCGGCCTCCTCTGGGCATTCCTGGCCAGGGTCACATCTGTCCCATTGAGAACCCAGGGCTCCTTGCCACACTCAAGCTGGATGACCACGTGGGGTCGGGAGACAGAGAGTCCTGTGAGAGAAGACAAGCAAGTGAGGGGTCACCCCCGGCAGATGGCAGGAGTCAGGGCTTCGTGGGCCACGGACGGCATCATCTGTGCAACCAAGGATACCCGAGGTCACATCACAGGGCAGGGATCTCAGAGCAGCTCGATGGTGCCTGTGAGGAGAACCGTGTCGGCAGCACCCGAAGGGGACTGAGCACAGAGGCACCACAGCTAACAGGGACACTCAGCCAGAGGACATGGGGCTGCTCACAGGCCGCCGGGCGGTAAGAGGTTAGTGCTGGCAGCCTAGCCTGGCAACACATGCGCTCCCCATGGAGGACCCAGGGCTTACCCAGCGAGGCCAGGAGGGTGAAGTTCTCCAGCATCACACGGCGGTACAGAGCCCTCTGGGCTGCATCCAGGAGCCCCCACTCCTCCCGGGAGAAGTACACAGCCACGTCTTCAAAGGCCATTAGGCCCTAAGAGAGTTGGAAGATGGACATGATCTAAGCTATAGCTGTGTGAACCAAAACCCAGCTCCGTGCCCCAAAGGCTACCTCCGCTCGTGTCCCTCAGATGCTCACCCTCCTCCCACAAGGCTCTGCAGATGGGCCTTCCCTCACCTCTCTGGACCCCTCCCCTCCCCCTTCCCCATCTAGGCCGTAGATGCCTCTTTAACCCGACCTGGCCACTCTACACAAGGCAGCCAGAGGAAGCCCCTGGCCTTCTGCCACACCAAGGTCAGCCCCTGGCGTCCACTCATTCTCCAGCCTTTGCACAAGCTGAGCCTCCCCAAAGGTGCTCTCATTGCTCTTGCTTAAGTAACTGTACAAGTCCCAGCTGCAGAGCCCCCAGGACATGCCCATCCCTGTAGGTATGCCCTCTCCTGCTGAACTTGCCTGACATTTCAAGGCTGCTCTTTGAACCTGAAGGACTGGCTGATCCCCTCCAGCTGCCACAGGGGTGGCGCCAAGGATCTGGTGGGCACACAAGAAGCCACTTCCCTCCTCCCTCCATAGCCAGGCCCCCTCTATTTCCTCCTCAGGTGGCTGCCACCTTCCCTTCCCTCAGCCACCTGCCAGACTTCCCCTGAGAGCCCCAGGGACTGCCAGCCATTCCTCATCTCCCTAGAGCCCTGACTGCCCATGCCTATCCCTGGCTGAGTCTGTGAGATGTCCTCTTCCTAAGTTTGATTCCTAGGCTCCACCTCACTCAGAACATCAGGACTCTGTCCTCGGACATCTACAATTCCAGGTCCATGTGACACCTCCACTCTGAGACAGCACAGACTCTTCCCAATTTCCCCCTGAAATCTACTTTCCCTTCAAATTCCTAATTTTGTCTACAGCAGTTCCGTTCTTTTTTTCTCTGTCCCATTGAGTGACAGTTGCCACTGGCACAGTCCCAGGGCAAGGATACAATCAAGGGTTTTCAATTTCAGCACCAGCTACCAAATCCTGGCCCCACTGCCTGGGGGAGGACCTGTGAAAGTGCTAGGCAGCTCCATTCTTTTGGGTGCTCCGGCGGAAAACCTTAGACTGGCCCTTCACTCAGGACACTCCCGCATACCCCGCACTTGATGCATCAGCAGATCTATCCAGAATCCAACGGCTTTTCGCACCTGCACTGCCCGGACTGTGACAGTAGCCTCCTCCCTGCACACCGCCACGCCCCTCTGCTTCTGTTCTCCACTCAACAATAGGTGGAATACCCTAAAAAATCGTTAACTTAAAGCATGTCCAGTCTCCCGGTGCCCTCGGGATAGTCTTAACTCCTCGGCCTGCCCTTTCAGACATACATATCTTCTCCCCGCCGAGCAGCTCACTTCCGGAAGCGCCTACACTCAGGCTTCCCTCCCAGCTTTTGCAAACGGGGGACCCTCCCCTTGGAACTTCCTTCTACACCTCACCCCCTTAGCTGCCAGAAGTGGGGATCCCACGCGTGCACTACCAACCAGCCGGGACAGCACGGCCTAGGACGAAGCGCGAGGGGAAGACAAGACGTCCAGGTAAAGTGCCTCCCTCGATCGGGGCTCGGGTCCATGAAGGAGGCATCCGGGTGGGTGGGGGCCTGGGGTTCCCGCTACTCACCTGCGCCGGGTCTGTCTGCGCCGCCGCCATCGGAACCTGCAGAAAGGTGCGGGCGCTCAGGCTCCGGGCCTCTCTCCCAATCCGTCAAGGGCGCCGCGTCGGGACGGCGTGGAGGCCGGAGCACGTGGCTTGGGGGGCGCACACGCCGCACCCCGGGAAACTGAGGCCGGGGACTGGCCTTGGGCCCCCGGGCTCGGCTGCCCGTGCCTCGGATCTCCGCCCGCACGTCCTCGCTGCCCGCACGTCCTCACTGCCCGCACCTCGGGTCTCCAGACCCTTCCGCAAAACCGGCCCCGACCCGGCGCTCTCCGGCCGTCACCGGCGTGGCCCGACGCCGGCAGCCAAGTGACAGTCCCGGACGCCGGAAGTCCAATCTCGCGAGCCCTCATTGGCCCGTGGCGCGCTGCGGACGCACGCGCAGAGCCTTCTGGCTGCCGGCGCGGTAGGTGGAGCGCGCCTGGTCTCCACGGCAACGGCCAAGCGGCGCCGCCGGGGCCGCTGGGAAGTGGAGTCTGCAGCAGCGCCAGGCTTCCGGGCTGAGCGTGGGGTGGGGTGCTGGCGGGGTCGTCAGCGCTGCGGGTGAACGGTGAATTGCTGAGGGCCCGGGAGGGCCTCCGCCACTTCCCACCCTCGCCCAGCGCAGCACCGGGGACGGAGCGTGACCGGGGTCCCATCCCATCCCCGCCTCCTGGGGCCTCGCACCAGGGCTGGGTGTGACCCCCGCGGGTCAGCGTCCTGTTATGGTTGGGAACAGCCCCCACGCCGAGTCGCAAGGCCCTAACCTAAGTTTTTCTAGCGTCTGGAATCGTTCTGAGACTTCCTCCACCATCTGTTTTCTTGGCTCAACTGGGCCGCGCAAAAAGTACTCTCCCCGACTCACTTGTCCCTAGGTCGTCTAGATCTTACCTTGCCCCGCACGTCATGGTGTTGATTCCCTGTTCCTTTATTTTGGGGGGAGGGGGCAACCTACATGGGTACGACACATAAAATCAAACGGAAGGGTAGTCTCAATGCAGACTGACTACTGCTGACAGAGAGTAAAAGGTTTTCTCTTTGTTGTTTCACTCTGAGGGTCTGTTTTTCAGGGTTCTTAGTCCTCATACACAAAATGGGACAGTAATGGTACCCACCGCATAGGGCTATTGTAAGTTAATATGGAACCAATCTGTGTCGAGTTCATTCACTCTGTCTCCCTCCCTGCTTACCTCCCTAGGTAAGTTATAAGTGATTGTTATAACATCTATATCAGCTCTGTCTGCAGTATCACTACTCTTTGTAAGTCCTTGTAATGCAAGAGATAACATCAATTTTGGAGTATTTGTGTGTAAATTTTGCTCACTTTGAAATAAATGAAGAAAATCTAATGTATTTGTGGTTAGGGAATGTTTCTTGCCATTCCAGTAAACAAAGAATGTTTGAGTCCCTCCCTGGTGGTCTAGTGGTTAAGACTCCATCCTCCCGATTCAGGGGGCCTGGGTTCATCCCTGGTCAGGGAACTAGGTCCCACATGCTGCAGCTAAGAGCCCACATGCCGTAACTAAAGATCCCGCATGTCACCACAACGAAGATCCTGCATGCAGCAATGACTAAGGGCCGGCACAGACAAATAAATAAATAATTAAAAATATTAAAAAAAAAAAAAAAAAAGAATGTTCAAATCCCACGTGAGGTTCACCTTGAACCCACGTGCCGAGACTAGAAGCCAGCCTAAACCCAGATTGGGACTTGAACCCACGGTCTCTTTTTTCGGCTGTGCCGCGCGGCATGGGGATCCTAGTTCCCCAACATGGGATCAAAGCCACACCCCCTGTAGTGAAAGCGTGGAATCTTAACCCGTGGACCGCCAGGGAAGTCCCAACCCCCAGTATTTTTTTTAAAATTTATTTCTTGTATTTATTTATTTTTGGCTGTGTTGGGTCTCTGTTGATGGGCGCGGGCTTTCTCTAGTTGCGGTGAGTGGGGCTACTCTTCGTTGTGGTGCGTGGGCTTCTCATTGCGGTGGCTTCTTTTGTTGGGGAGCATGGGCTCTAGGTGCGTGGGCTCAGTAGTTGTGGCTCACGGGCTCTAGAGCGGAGGCTCAGTAGTTGTGGCGCACGGGCTTAGTTGCTCCTCGGCATGTGGGATCTCTCCGGACCAGGGCTCGAACTCGTGTTCCCTGCATTGGCAGGCAGATTCTTAACCACTGCGCCACCAGGGAAGCCCCAACCCACCGTATTTTAACTGAGATGACACACCTGGTCTCAGGACTTAATGAAGCTCAGGTTCTTTATGTCTCATCGCAGAAAGAATTCAGCGAGATACAAAGTGATAGGTAAGAAATGGATTTATTTAGACATGTACATATTCCATAGATAGAATGCGGTCTGTCTCAAAAGGCGAGAACAGCCTTGGGAGAAACACACTCCACAGAGTGTGGGCCATCTCAGAAGGTGAGAGGCCCCGAAATATGGGGTGGTTAGTTTTTATGGGCCGGGTAATTTCATAGACTAATGAGTGGGAGGATTATTCCAAGTATTTCGGGGGAAGGGGTGGAGATTTCCAGGAATTGGGCCGCCACCCACTTTTTGACATTTTATGGTTGGCCTCAGAACTGTCATGGCGCTGGTGGGTGTGTCATTTAGCTAATGTATTACAGCGAGCATAAGATGAGTCTCAAGGCCCACTGGAAGTTGAATCTTCTGCCATCTTGGACCTAGTTGGTTCTAAGCAGTTTTTGTCATGTCCTATGTGCGTCATTTTTTTAAAGGTTGTGCCCTGCCCCCTTCCCTCCTGTTTCAGAGGGACCAGCATGTGCAAAGGCTTGGAGGCAAGCCTGCAGGCGGGCATTCAGGAAACCTGAATTGTGTGTGTTTCCTGGAGGAGCTAGAGCTTCAGATTTCTTTGTGGAAACTTCTGCTTTTATAATTTTGGCACCTGTTTTATTTTATTGTTTTGGCCGCGCTGTACGGCATGCAGGATCTTACTTCCCTGACCAGGGATCAAACCCGTGTGCCCTGCAGTGGAAGCACAGAGTCTTAACCACTGGACCCCCAGGCAAGTCCCAGCACCTGTTTTAAAATAGCTAATAGCCATGTGAGTTCAATGTGGTAGGCAGAATCATGGTCCTCCAAAGATGCCCACATCCTAATCCTCAGAACCTGTTAATATGTTACCTGACATGGCCCGCTTTATGGACTAAGTTAAGGATCTTGAGATGGAAAGAATATCCAGGATTGTCTGGGTGAGTCCAGTATAATCACATGAGCCCTTGAAAGCAGAGAAACATAACACAAATTATTAAAAATTTCTGGATGTCATAAGCCTGACACTTGTGTCAGCTACTCTAAAATCAAGGAATCGGCACTTCCCTGGTGGTCCAGTGGCTAAGACCCTGCGCTCACAATGCAGGGGGCCCGGGTTCGACCCCTGGTCAGGGAACTAAATCCCACATGCCACAACTAAGAGTTCACACACCACAACTAAAGATCCCGCATGTAGCAACGAAAATACTGTGTGCCGCAACTAAGACCCGGTGCAGCCAAATAAATATTTAAATATTAAAAAAAAAATCAAGGCATCAGCAGGACTGTGTTGCTTCTGGGGACTCTGGGGAAGAATGGGTTCCCTTGCCTTTCCAGACTCCACAGTCTGCCAGCATTCCTTGGTTTGTGGGTCTTTCTGTCTTCAAAGCCAGCAACGGCAACTTCTTTCTCACATTGCATCACCCTGACTCAATCTCTCTCCATCTCTACTGCCTCCCTCTTCCACTTTTAAGGACCCTTGTGATTACATTGTTTCATCTCACCCTCCCAACCTCAGATAATCCAGAATGATCTCCACATTTCAAGGTCAGCTGATTATCAACCATAATTCCATCTATCATTTTAATTCCCCCTTGCCCTGTAACATAACATAGTTACATACTCCAGAGATTAGGTCCTGGACATCTTGAGGGGAGGGGAAGGCATTAGTCTGCCTACCATGAGCATACTTAAAAAAAAAACATTAAACATTGCCTACCTGGCTACTCGTTAAGTCGAGAATGAGTAAAAATAATAAGAACTGGCAAAAAAAAAAAAAAAAAAGAATGAGTGCATTTCATATTCACATATTGAGGGATGGGGAAGTCATTCTGGCTTATACATGATTTGACTTTTTTATGCTAAAACAGCCTGTTTGTGGCCTATCAAAAACACATGGTACATCTGCTGTAATCATTAAAGAAAAGGGTGCATTGACCAGAGGTAAAGAATGTCCATGTTAAAAATAAAGTTTAGGGCTTCCCTGGTGGCGCAGTGGTTAAGAGTCCCCCTGCCGATGCAGGGGACATGGGTTCGTGCCCCGGTCCGGGAAGATCCCACATGCCGCGGAGCAGCTGGGCCCGTGAGCCATGGCCGCTGAGCCTGCGCTTCCGGAGCCTGTGCTCTGCAACGGGAGAGGCCACAACAGTGAGAGGCCCGCGTACCGCAAAAAAAAAAAATAATAATAAAATAAATAAAATAAAGTTTAAATGCCTCCCTTCCTGGAATGCCAATGCTGGTATTCCTTCAATGATAAGACTAGCTTCTTCTCAAGGCCATATTGACTGTGTGCATGCTGACCTGTTTTTGTTTTTTTTTTAAAACCTTGAAGGAATGCATCCTTGACCTGTCTGATGTTCTTTGTTCTGACAAGATATAAAAATGTGCCATGATTCAGTGGAGCAGTTCAGAGTTATCTGAGAGGCTGTCTTCTGGGCTATAGTCCTCAGTTTGGCTCAAATAAAACTGTCTTCTATCCCTAGTAGAGATTGTTTATTGATTACTTCCAGCGACAGTGTCAACAAGCTCAACAAGCATTCTGTAGACAGGCATCTCTTACTTGCTCTCCCTGGCAGTGTATGTAAGAGCCTTGGGATGATGCTGCTGGTGACGATAAGGACAATAACAATACTAGCTCTCTCATATATGTAGCACCACGTGCCTGGCCCTGTGCTAAGCACTTTTTTTTTTTTTTTTTTTGCCGTACGTGGGCCTCTCACTGTTGTGGCCTCTCCCGTTGCGGAGCACAGGCTCCGGAAGCGCAGGCTCAGCGGCCATGGCTCACGGGCCCAGCCGCTCCGCGGCATGTGGGATCTTCCCGGACCGGGGCACGAACCCGTGTCCCCTGCATTGGCAGGCGGACTCTCAACCACTGCGCCACGAGGGAAGCCCAGCTAAGCACTTTTCATGTCACCTCGCATGAGGAAAGTTGTGGTATTTTCCAAATTTTGTCACAGGACTTTGAATTAGACCTGATTCTTTGAATTTAGAGCATCAGAATCTCCAGAAGGGCTTGTCAGGCTCATCCCTGTGGGGGGCGGGGACAAGAATTTGCATTTCTAGCCAGTTCCCCAGTGATGCTGATTCAGGGACCACAGTTTGGGGACCACTGAATTAGAGAGACATTTAAGGTTATTAAACAAAGTCTCCATGAGGAAGATAGTATTTTCACTTGACACCCTCAAAGGCAACAAGTGATTCCCCAGGGGCCTCCCCACGGCTGGTTGTCCGAGGCCCAGGACACGGGTCACTTGCTGGACAACAAACTCTGCGGGAGGAAACCTGGGAGCGGCCCCTTTAAAAGGAAGCAAAGACACGCTCCTGCCCGTCTTTTTTCTCAGCTCTCCATTTCCCAGCGCCCCGCTAGAGGTAGCTTGGCGTTGCCATGGAGAATGGAGAATGTGTGGGCGCCGCGCCGGGGGGTGGGGTGGAAATGCAGGACTGAAACTACATTGACCACAAGGCATCGGGGGCGGCAGGTTCTGGACCAATCACAGCCCAGAACAAGGGCTGTTTCCTGCTGCTCGGTCGGCGGGGGCGGAACTTCCTGCGTCGCCATTGTTGGCATTCCTTCTGTTCTTGACAGGTCGTTTTCCACTGCCCTTGGGGACCCGAGTGTTGGGTCGTGGCCGTTTTCCAGGCGCCTCCTCGGGACCCGGCCGAGGTGGACAGTGAGGAGGATGGGACCGGCCTCCAGGCTCCGTACGAGCCGCACTGTCCTGTAACGTGGTGTCCTGCGTCCCCACGGTCCCTGGAGGCGGCGTTTACACCGTGGGGACAGAGGTCCCGCGTGCAACGGGCGGTGGGAGGCCCCCGGCCTGGGGCTGGGGGTGTAGGGAGCGGCAGAGCCCGCCTGGGTCTGATGGCGGTGGCGCTGAGGGGCCCGCTGCGGGTGAGTGGAGGGTCCCCACAGGCCCCACTCACTCGGACCCCTACCCATGTGGCCCGGGACCCCCGACAGAGGGGAGGGGTTGCTCCCGGACTCTGCCCCTCCATCTTCGCTACTGGGACCCTGGGGTCACTGAAAGCCCAAGGTGCCGAGTCCTGGCCAGGTTTTTTGTGGAAACGTTCTCATTCTGGAATCCAGCGGGACAAGGCGTGCAAAGCAGTTTCAGGCACAGGGACCAGGATGTGCACATGCTTGGCGGTGAAGCTCAGTTGGGAGTGTTCAGGGAACTGAAGGTCTCCCTGTTGCCTGGTGGACAAGAGCTTGGCCTGTCACCTGAGGGTGGCGGGAGCCACGGAAGGTTTGGAGCAGAAGAGGGAGGTGATCTGACTCAGGTGTTCACAGGCTTCCTCAGGCTGCAGAGTGGAAAACAGGAGAGTGAGAGTGAGGGAAGAGAAAAGGAGGCACACAAGGATGCTACCTTAATATAGCAGTGGCTTGGCCAGAGCGGTGACTGGAGTTGGGAGAAGTGGTTGGAGCTTGGATCTGTCTTTTAAGTTAAGCCAGCCTGATTTTAGGTGGAGGGGGAGAGAGAGAGAGAGAGAGAGAGAGCACAAGGAGGTGGGGATGTCCCTGTGGGTTTTTGGCCTCAGCGATTAGAAGGTGGAAGTGCTTCGGCTGAGATGGGGAAGTTGGTGGGTGGAGTGGTTTCAGGGAAGATCAGGAGGTGGATTTTGACCATGTGGAGACTGAGGTGTCCCAGAGACTTCTGAATGCAAGTCTGAGTTATGCTGAGGGATTCCACTTGGAGACATCCAGTTGGCAGTACCCAGCCTGTGAAGTGAGGTGGAACTCAGGTGCAGATTTAGGAGGGAGCGTCTTTAGGGCATGGTGATGGATGCCCCATGGGGGCAGCTGAGGACTGGGTGGCTCTCCGGGTACCTGGACAGGGGTGGTGGGTGTCACAAATTCAGGTGAAGGGAGGAGCAGCCACAAAGGAAGGGGTGTGTGGGAGAGGAGGGTCCAGAAGGGGCCCCCGGTCGCTGGGGTGGAGGCTGAGGCATATTGTGGGTGGAGGTAGATGACAGCAGGACCGGGGCTGGTGGCTATTCACCTCTCTATGGCTCGCCAGCCTTTCTTGGCACCCTCTATGGGGCCTGTGAGTTTCAGTTAGGATAGCAGGTTAGCTCAGTGGCAGGCAGGCAACTGGGAGTGTCGCAGGCCTGGGGTGGGAGGTGGTGGGCCTGGACTTTGAGTATACGTTAGGAGAGAAGAATACAGTGGCAGGGGAGGTGACAGCATGCAGAAAGTCAGAGGCCAGGACATGCCAGAGATCCATGTCTGGCCTTGGTGGCTGAGAGTTAAAGGTAGGAATAGGCCCAGTTGCAGAAACAATGAAGGAAACTCTGGGTGCCACCCCTGGCAGTTGGAATTCTTTGAAGTCTGGGTCAGGAAGGGGTACTGGTTGACCTCACCAAGTAGCCAGGCTCTGGACACCATTTGCACAGTGACATGTGGGGTGGCTGGGAGATGCCCATTGTGTGGGCCAGGGAATGGTGTAGGGTCTGGAGATGTGCAATACAAAGCCTGACGTGTGCATGCAGAGGAGATGAGTCAGTGGACTGGAATCTGGTACTGGGGGCCCTGTGGGAGAAAGGGGGCTTCCGGTTTGGTGTTTCTGGGTGGCAGGATCTGGGGACCCAGGGGAATTACCTAGCAGGAGGAAGTGGGGCCCTACATGCCAGGCTAAGGGTTTAGATGGCATCTCTCTGTCCACCTGCCTGCTCTTTGAAGGACAGTGGCCGATGGGACATGAGGAGACAGCGGCACCCATGACATTGCATCTGGGGGAAGTGGGTGACCTGGAGTGTTTGGGGAGGATGGTTTAGGGGTCAGAGACTGCCCACCACAGAGGTGGTATGATGCAGGGTGAAAGATCTAGGTCTGTATGGGCTCATCTGTGCACTGTTTTTTGTTCGTTTTTCTACCATCCTTTGGTCTAGCTGACTTAATTGTCTTCATCATGGCAGGGCTGGGGGACCTTTGAGGACATTGCCGTGTACTTCTCCCAGGAGGAGTGGGGGCTCCTTGACGAGGCTCAGAGGCACCTGTACTGTGATGTGATGCTGGAGAACTTGGCACTTGTGGCCTCACTGGGTAAGGCCCTCCCAGCCTCCTAGGCTCTGCCTTTCCTTTTCTCCCAGAAGCAGCTCTGTCTTCCCGCAGCTGAGCATGGGCACTGCTTCCTCCCCTGGACCACCTGCCTCGTGTTTGCCTGCTCCTTTCTCTGAGGAGCCCCAACACCTGATTCCGAAGCCTTCTGGGGAAGGGCTCAGGCTTCGGAGTCTCAATCCGGCTGCCTAAATTGGTCCGGATCGGTGGCACCTCTGTGCCTGGCTGTGCTGTGGACTGCAGACACCGACGTGGTCACTGCTTGTGGAGACGACTGGGCTGTTCCTGGGAGCCGCTCCTCAGGAGCTGATTTTGTAACACTGGGTTTTCTTCCCAGTTGCAAAGATGACACGAACTCCCTTTGGTCTGTCACCGGATAGGTTGCCCTGAGCTAGGCCACCCCCTCATCCGCTCTTTCTGCCAGGACTTGCATATTCCACGTCCTGTGTGGTTGCCCAACCACAGGAACAGGGCAAAGGACCCTGGGTGCCCATGTCTGCAGCCACAGCAAGAGAGGCTGGGAAGGGGCCTGGCTCTGGTGAATGGGAGCTGGGGGCAGAGGCGACATTGTGATGGGCTCACATTATACTGGGTACTTCACCTGTGTCCACTGGAGCTTGTTGCTGGAGCCAGTAGCCCCACCCGACCCCCACCTTCCTTCTTCATTGAGGACAGACCACCTATTTGCCATTTGTCTTTTGTACCTAGGCCCTGATGACGGACAGCCTCACTGCTCTGATCTCCATTTCTCCCCCATTCCCCGCCTTTCCTCCTTTTGCAGGGCTGTCCCAGGTTAGCCTACAGTCCATGTGTCATGACATGTGTGTGTATCTTCATGTAGACTCAGAGTACCAGGTTCCTTGCATTTTCCTGAGCTCGTGCACATGGCTCTGTGTCCTCTTTTCCTGGCAGAGCTCTCTCCTCTCCTGATGAAAGCTGAGGAATGAGTTGGAATCTCTGCTTCTCCTCCCAGCCTGAACCTCACCCATGTTCTCACAGGTGATGGGCCCTCGCTTTCTGTGGCCTTCCTGGGCCCAGTCCTGCACCACTGGCTCTACCTCACCCCAACTTGATCTACAGACTCATTCCTGAATGTGTCAGACACACATCTGTGAAGAGGCTGCCCTCTCCCAACAAAGCCTACATACATTTCACTGGCATTTCTCTGCTTTCAGATTATGGGTGTGGAGCAGAGGCTGAGGAGGCATCTTATGAGAAGAGTGTTTATGTAGCAGTGCTTCAGTCCAGGACCCCCAAGGCAGATCCATCCATCCAGAAGGCCAACACCTGTGATGTGCATGACCCAGTGTTAAAAGACATATTACACCTGGCTGAGCACCAGGGAATACAACCCAGGCAGAAACTGTACACGTGTGAGACATGTGGGAGAGGTTTCTGGCTCAGTGCGAACTCTCACAAGCACCAGAAGGAGCACAGTGAAGAGAAACCCTTCACATGCAGGGAGTGTGCTAAGGCTGTCCTGGACAGCCATGGTCTCCAGCCCCAGGCCACCTACGGAGAGGGGACATCACACAGAAGCACCGAATGTAAGGAGGCCTTACCACCCAGCTCCATTTGGCAGCAACAGCAGGGAGGCCACGCCTCACAGAAGCCCTTCAAGTGCAGCGACTGCGGACAAGCTTTCCTGAAGGCCTTTGCACTCCTCAACCACCTGATCACTCACGCCAAAGAGAGACCCTTCAGGTGCCCAGCAGGTGGAAATGCCCCCATGGAGAGCTCAACCCTGTTTAATCACCGAAAAACTCACACTGGAGAAACATCCCATGTGTGTAAGGAATGTGGGAAGGTGTTCAGCCACCTGTTTAGCCTGAGGATGCATCAGAAAGTGCACACTGGAAAAGCGCATCTCAGTTGCAGTGAATGTGGTAAAGTCTTCACCCGCAAACACTCACTCACTCAGCACCAGAGAGTTCACACTGGAGAAAGGCCTTATGAGTGTGACCAGTGTGGGAAAGCCTTCACTCGTAGCTTCCACGTTGTTCGGCACCAGAAAGTTCACAACACAGAGAGGCCTTATGAGTGCAGACAGTGTCGGCGAGTCTTTAGCTGTATCTCCAACTTTGTCGAGCACCAGAAAATACATACCGGAGAAAGGCCTTATGAGTGCAGCGAATGCGGAAAAGCCTTCGTTAACACCTCCCATCTTGTCCGGCATCAGAAAGTTCACAACACAGAAAGGCCTTTTGAGTGCAGTGAATGTGGAAAAGGCTTCCAGCAAACCTCCAAACTTATTCTGCATCAAAGGAGTCATACTGGAGAAAGACCTTATAAGTGCAACCAATGTGGGAAAGCCTTCAGTTGCCCCTCCAACCTCGTTCCACACCAGCGAATTCACACTGGAGAAAAGCCTTACAAGTGCTCCGAATGTGGGAAAGCCTTCAGTCAAAGCTCTGCCCTCATTCAGCATCAGAAAGTTCACACCAGAGAAAGGCCTTATGAGTGCACTGAATGCGGGAAAGCCTTCAGCTACAGCTCTAACCTTGTTAAGCACCAGAAAGTTCACACCGGAAAACGGCCTTATAGGTGCAGCCAGTGTGGGAAGGCCTTCAGCGAAAGCTCCATTCTCAGTCAGCACCAGAGAGTTCACACTGGAGAAAAGCCTTATGCGTGTAACAAATGCGGAAAAGCTTTCCGCTACAGCTCAAACCTCTCTAAGCACCAGAAGGGTCACACTGGAAAAGAGCCGTCTGAGTGCAGTGGACATAGGATCACCTTCAGCCAGAGCTCCAGCCTCCCTCAGCCCAGAAAGGTCACACCAAAGAAAGGCCTTAGGAATGTGGCAAGAGTGGATAAGCACTAGTGGGGACCTTCTCCTTGTTCCATAAAAGGACTCACTCTTGAGAAACTCCTATGAGAGGAACTTTTGTGAGGAAGCCATCAGCCAAAATTTGAAACTTGCGCATCCCACACCCCTACTGGGAGATTGGCTGTAGTGCCAGTGGTAAGTGGGAAGCTTGCAGGAGCTATGCAGCACTTTCTAACCTGTCCAGGTGCTTTGCCAGATTATGTCACTGCCAGGTGCCCTCTCACCTCTACCACTTGGCAGATCCCCACACCATGTGCCTGTCATCTCAACATACTCAGGGAATGCAGGCTTGTGTTCTCATTCCCTGGAGGGAGCCATAAACTTTGGGAGCCCATTGGGGTGGCCTCATTTTCCACCTCTCCCCTGTCCCCAGTGGCTCAGGTGTTGCCTTGACGTAGTTCTCTCCAGGAGGATCTGGAGTCTGACGATGTCCAGAGGAAGTTTCCTTCTTCATGGGCATTGTTGAGTCTACAGATGATGCCTGCAGTGAACTGGTCCAGCCTCCATATCACCCAGCCTTGGAACTGCCTGCCTGCAGAGTGTGATAATAAAGACCTTATTGCTGAAGCCATCTTTAATCCTGAGACTCCGTCCATTGTGTATGGGGAGAGATGGAGAACAGAATTGGGCTCTAATGGTGCCAAGAGAGGAAAGGGCTTTTGTGGGGGCCCAGACTTTGATAGTAGGATGGCAAGGAATAGCGTGCAGTCTAGTTTAATCTAATTTGCCTTGTAGCCCAAGGCCTCCTGGGACAGACTGAAGGTCTCTGGGCCAAATCTTATATCCTGGGTGCCAGGACTATTTGTTGGGCCCAGAGCTTTGGGGTTTAAGTACTGGTGTGGGAATCTCCAGCAATTCCTGCACAGCATTCCTGGGAATGTCCCACATCCCTCAAAAGTGTTGAGGGGAGGATGTCTCCTGGGACCTGCCCATGGGTCCAGTAAGGCCCCTGATGTCCAGAATCTGTAGGTAGGTATCTCTGGATTTAAGATCTACAGGGGCCAGGTAGAAGCATAAGTGGGTGTGGACACACTGGGTTTGAGCTCAGGAAGACGGTGACAAACGGAGATGTGGCCGATGCTGTGCCTGGGCCATGCACATCATACCCACTCACAAGAGCTGAGTGTGTTCAACATCAAGTGGGCAGCTTGAAATAGCCATGGTGGAATTTATACCACAGAAATTAGCAAACAATAGCTCTCGGGGAAAAAATAACACACCTGAGAAAACCTGATTTGTAGTGTTTGCCAAACTTGCTGACAGTGACCTTGGCCACAAGAGAGACTCAGCTGTACAGGGAAGTCCTGCATGCTCTTGCCTTGTCCTCCAGAACAAGTGCAATGCCACTTTAGGGGTGTAACCAGGGGTGAGGTGCTCACTGCCAAACAATAATCTTGAGGTGGTTTGGATTCCTACAGCCTCCCAGAGCTGCTCACTTCAAGGCCAACACTGCAAAGGCAGGAACCCTGGGACTGAGAAGGGAGGTCCTGCAGTCCAGGATTTTAGTGGCCCAGTCAGTATTCCAGGCGAGTGTGGTGGCCATTGGCCTTATCATCTCCTGTTTTCTGCTGCCACTGAAGCACAGCTGTCCCCAGGTATAGGGGTCAGAGACGGTGGAATCAACATATGGTTGCCCCATTTTCTGGTTTTCCAAGAGGAGTGAGAGATCCATGTTTTTATGTGGAGCCTTTAGATTTTATAAAGGTTGAAAACTATTTCCCCCAAACTTCAAAGTTTATAGGTACAAATGCAAACTATATATATGGGTTCCATATGTGTTCCTGGACCAACACTTGTGACTCTTAGAAAATAAGCAAACCAGGCTTCAGGGAGCCCAAGAGTCCCTGGGGGTCCCCAGACACGAAGGCTTTTGGCCCAGTGTTTACTGCACAGCACATAGCAGGGACAGTGGCACTGCTACTACTCCACTCAGGATGACTCTCTGTACCCCCCACCCCCAATCCTCTGCCAGTTCCCTGAAACTGACCATATGAGGAATGGCATTCCTGGCAGGCTTGTGGTCAGCCGAGCACGTGGCAGATGTGCCTGAGCTCTCCCCAGCATCCCAAGGTGTCAGGGAATCCCCTGAACTCAGACCATCCCTTCTGGGTGTAATGATTGTCTTCCACCAACTTGGGAGGCTTGGGATCAGAGTTACATTCAGTTGAACCTTGGGGCCTCAGGCTTCCTGGCAAAGGGTGGACACATCATCAATGGTTCAAGTCCTTGAACCCGTGTTGTCAGCTGTAGTTAGACAGGCCTCATAACACTGCCCCCAGTGCATGGATGAAACCCTTCACCTACCTTCTACTCTCCCCACCAGGGCTCTGTCACACCAGCCAACTTACTGGAACCTTAATATTTCCCTGGTGATGCCACAACATACTGAACAAAGGTGTGTTGGTTCTAAGCATTTGATTTCCCCAGAGTACCAATTCATCCCTAGCATCACAAGATATCCAGGGACCCTTGGCCTGCTCAGGCCCACTCTCCTGGGTGTATCAGTTGCCTCCCACCAACATGGGAGAGTGGCTTGGGATCAGAATTAAAGTCCAGCTGAGACATGTGGAACTCAGGCCTCCAAGCAAGGTAGGGCAGACACCTGTCATCAGAGCTGAATCATTTGTACCCCAAATGGTCTGCGATGTGTAGATCCTGTAAAATGAAGACTTTTGGTGAAGAGTCCTTGATTTGGTGAAGTGTCCTTGACCTGAACCTGCCTTGTGGTCTCCCCAACAGGGCTCTGTGCAGGGCAGCCGGCCTGCGGGTGTGTGTGTGTGTGTGTGTGTGTGTGGGGGTGTTTGTGTGTGCACGCACATGCGTCTGTGGGTACATGATCATGTGCATGTGCCAGAACATCCATAATAAAGCCCTTATGGCTCTGAGCATCTATGAACTGGGGCTACTGACATCTGTCTTGACTCTACAGGAAGGCTGATCTGTAAATGAGCCACAGAGGAAGGCAGCATTACTTGAGCCCCAGATCCACTTAGTGCCTGAAGCCAGATGCCAAGTGGACTTTTGGGTTCCATGTACCAAAACTGACCAAAGCAATTCACAGAGGAAAAGGTAATTTTTTCAACCAACCAAATCAACAACTGGACAGCCATATATTACAACAAACTTCCACCCATACCTCAAGTCATGTGCAAAAGTTAACTCAAACTTGATCATAGACATACCTATAAAACTTATAACCATAAAAGTTCTAGAAGGAAGCACAGTGACCTTGGATTTGCTGAATTTCTTAAATATATCATAAAAAGCATAACAAGAAAAATACAAATCAATTGGACTTCATCAAAATTTTAAACTTTTGTATTTCAACAGTCACTCTCAAGAAAATGAAAATGTAAGCCATACTGGGAAAACTATCTGTTAAGAAAACACTAACAAAGGACTTGAATCTCGACTATATAAAGAACTCTTATAACTTTTGTTTTTTTTGGCCACACCACAGGACTTGTGGGATCTCAGTTCCCCAACCAGGACTGAACCCAGGACACGGCAGTGAAAGCGACAAACCCTAACCACTAGACCACCAGGGACCTCCCACAGCCTAATTTTTAAAAATGGGCAAAAGTGACTTGAACACTCACTTCACTAAAGAAGATATCTGGATGGCAAATAAGCACAGGCTTCCCTGTAAAATGTGTTATTTATTTAAAGCTCATGGCACCCCCATAGGCGTTCTAGAGATACTGAGCCGGTAAAGGACACAAAATCTGAGCTACACATCACAGCTGATAATTAGCTGTGTGCCACTGGACATATTACAAAGTCTCAGTTCCCCCTCTATGTAATAGATTATTTATTTATTTATTTATTGGCTGTGTCGTGTCTTTGTTGCTGTGCACGGGCTTTCTCGGGAAGTCCCGATTCCCCTATATTGAATTGATGGCTTTGGCAGAGGTGCAGGTCTGCAGATCCTCAGAAAGTCTGCATACTCTCACCCCACATGGACTCAGTCATCAAAGCAGACTCATGGGCTTCCCTGGTGGCGCAGTGGTTGGGAGTCCGCCTGCCGATGCGGGGGACATGGGTTCATGCCCCGGTCCAGGAAGATCCCACATGCCGCAGAGCGGCTGGGCCCGTGAGCCATGGCTGCTGAGCCTGCGCGTCCGGAGCCTGTGCTCCGCAACTGGAGAGGCCACAACAGTGAGAGGCCCGCGTACCGCAAAAAAAAAAAAAAAAAAAAAAAAAAACAGACTCATGACTGCTTCACAGAAAGGGCAGAGTCACTCCAGGCTGCCAGTCTCCCCCACTCTCTATTTCCTCATACCCAGTGTTCCTTTACCACTTAATATACCCACCTGGCTCTTACAGGAATACAAGAAGGTGACCCTGCCTTTCAGGGTCTGGTGTCCGGAGGACATGACTTCTAGCCCAGGAGAAGAGCTTCCTGTCATTGCGGCTGGAGGTGTGATGTGAAATATCCTCTAGAACAAGAAAGCAGCAGCCTCGCCTCCTGGATCACTGGTATGTTTTCAGAGTGCCCTCTCCCTTCCCTGGGTGAGCTCTTAGCAGCCAAATCAAAAGATTTGGAACATAGAATCTTTCAGCCTTTCCCAGGAGAGCAGATATGCAAAGTAGGATACACACTGGAAAGGAAGAAGTAAAAGTGTCTTTATTTGCAGATGACGTGATCCTGTATGGAAAAAAATCCCAAGGAATCCATTTTAAAAAGAAAACCTCTATAGTAAATAAGTTTAGCAAGGGGCAGGATAAAACCCAAAATATATTAGCAACAATCTGAAAATGAAATTCATGAAACAACTCCATTCACAGTACCTTAAAAAAGATTAAAATGGTAATAAATTTAACAAAAAAGTGCAATACTTGTACTCTGAAAACTATAAAACAGTGCTAAGAGAAACTGCTGAGAGACATTCCATGTTCATGGATTAGAAGACTCAATGTGTGGGACTTCGCTGGTGGTACAGTGGTTAAGAATCTGCCTGCCAATGCAGGGCACACGGGTTTGAGCCCTGGTCCAGGAAGATCTCACATGCCACAGAGCAACTAAGCCCGTGAGCCACAACTACTCAGCCCACACACCACAAGTACTGAAGCCCATGATCCACAACAAGAGAAGCCACTGCAATGAGAAGCCCGTGCACCACAACGAAGAATAGCCCCCACTCACCGCAACTAGAGGGAAAAAAAGCCCACATGGGGCAACTAAGACCCAACGCAGCCAAAAAACAAAACAAAAAAAAGACTCAATGTGTTAAAATGACAATACTCCCAAATTGATGCATAGATCCCATGCAATCCTTATCAAAACCACAGCTGACATTTTTGGTAGAAACTAACATGCTCATCCTAAACTCATAGATACGCAAAAGACAACAGACAAAAGAATTTTGACAAGGATCAAAGTTGGATTTACCTTACCTAATTTCAAAAGTTTCTATAAAAAAAAAAAAAGTTTCTATAAAGCTGGGAATTCCCTGGTAGTTCAGTGGTTAGGACTCCCCACTTCCACTGCAGGGGTCACAGATTCGATCCCTGGTCAGGGAACTAAGATCTCACAAGCCAAAGCAAGGCCAATTAAAAAAAAAAAGTTTC